CTCTTGGCCAGGCTTGTCGTCTTTGAAGACGGCCACTTGGCTGGTGACCTCGTGCATTTCCTCGTTGAGGTCTTCGTTGGCTTTCACCAAAGACTTGTTCTGCAGCGCTAATTCTTGGATCACCGTGTTGGCACGGTCCAACTTTTCCCTGATGTCCTCCACAGTTTTATGCAGGTGTTCTATTGTGGATTTAAGGTAATCCACTGTGTTCCGGAGAGCCTTCTGCTGCCCTTTGATGCATTCCTTGTCTTTGAGAAACATCTGATTCTCAGCGTCCAAGCAGGCTAAGGTCCCTCTCAGTTCCTCTACCTGGAGGCGAAGACTCTTGTTGGTTGCTGAAAGATCTTCCAGGGGCTCCGTTTGCTTCATAGTTTTTTTCAAGATGCCGGTCTGTTTGAGAAATGGAGACACACAGTCACACTCTCTCCTCAGTCCAGAGGTGATTTTGCTAACCTGCTTTGGGCCATTCCCCCACCTCTCTCTCCCTCTCTCTCTCTTTCTCCCTCTCTCTCTCCCCCTCTCCCTCTCCCTCCCCCTCTCTCTCTGTCTCTGTATCTCCTCCCTCTCTCCCTCTCTCCCTCCCTCTCTGTCTCTGTATCTCTCTCCCTCTTTCCCTTCCTCTCTCCCTCTGTCTCTCTCTCTCTGTGTCTCTCCCTCCCTCTCTCTCCCCCCCTCTCTCCCTCTCTCTCTCTCCCCCTCCCTCTCCCTCTCTGTTTCTCTCTCTGTCTCTGTCTCTGTCTCTCTCTTCTCTCTCTCTCTCAGCCCAACCCACTTCACAGGGTTGTTGTGGGGAAAATTGGAGGAGGAAGGAGCATTAGATATTTCACTGCCTTGAGTTATTTATAAAAAATAAAAGTGGGATTAAAAATCTAATAAATATAAAAATATAGTTCAGTCACTGGGGTGAGTTCTTTGGGAAATCCCATGACTTTGACAGGACACCAGAGCTTCTAGTTTTGATTCTAATTAATGTACAACAATCACTTTTTAATTTTTCCCCCCAAATTAAATACAGAATAAACAAAAAACAAAAAACAAACTAACAACCGTCAGACACTAATAATAAAAATAAAAAAACCTTGTGACCTCCAAGGTCCCTTCCAACTTTATCATCATTATTATAATAAAAGGATAATAAAAAGCGAATATATCATTCACGCTGACATTAAACATAGAAAGTCCATCCTGGCTGAATGCTGACAAAAATATCAAAAGTATTGGATGTGTTCTCCTCTCCTTACATAACTTGTCTACAGATAGTTATAAACTTTCCATTCATATTTGATACAAATACTATATCACATTAAAAAAATCCTGAATTTTATTTATCTAGCAATCCAATGAACCCAACCTGTTTGTTTTATATACATACATATACACATATACATATATACCCTGTTTTTTTTCTTTTAACAATCCTATAATCCTTTGCATCAGGGTGGGGTCGTGGCAATTGAATGGAGCTGAGCATTTACTGCCCGGATGCCTTTTCTGACACCTATGTGGAGCTCACAGCAGATATTCTATCCTTATGCCCAGAGAGAGAAATATCTACCGCTACCTAGGATCGAACTCACAGCCTCCTGATTGTGAGGTGAGAGCTCCATCTCTAGGCCACCACACCACACTTCAAAACCCTCCATTAACCATCTGTTATTGTATTCGACACACTGAAAGTCCACAAATGGCTTCCAGTCTCTTATAAACTGATCTAATCCATTCTCTCTATTTCAACCCAGTTAAATTCGCCATCTCTGCCGGTTTAATCAGTTTTAAGGTCCACTCTTCAACAGTCGGTGTCTCCTTTTCCTTCCAGTGCTAATGTACAACAGTCACTTTTGACAATAATTGCCATCAAAAGGAGGTGTCAGCATTTTAGAAGCAGGACTTGATATGCAATGGATGATAGCTTCAACAAACATGCAACAACATTGGAAGCGTATCTGGTCAATGAAGTATCTTTTTAGGTTAATTTCACCAAATCATTGAGCCAGATCAATTTCTGTCTTTGTGATCACAATGGCCATCAAATTGAGATATCCTGTTTTGGCTCCTAAGTCTGACAGATGTTTCTTAGTGCATGTTATTGTTAGCCACCTGACCCTAACCCTCTTTTTTTTGGTAAAATTTTATTAATTTTTTCCATACATATAATAATAATTTTTCAACCAACGTGCTGTCTTGAGTTTAAATACGCTAATACATATTAAATTCCTAATCATTTATTCTTTCCTCTAACCATCGATAAAGTAAGTCCCAAGTTTGATAATATTCTGTTTCTGCTTTTTCTTTCAGTCTCATGGTCAATCTATCCATCTCTGCGCATTCCAATATTTTTTTGATTATTTCTTCATCTGGTGGTATTCCTTCATTTTTCCAATAGTGCACAAATATTATTTGTGCCACTGTTGTGATGTGTAAAATCAAATATAGGCTTTGTTTGTTAATCTTTTCTGGCATTATACCTAATAAAAAAAGCTCAGGTTTAAAATCTACATATTCTCCCAACATCTTTTCTAACCAAGTATGTATCTTTTTCCAATAATTCTTTGCTTTATCACGTCCACCAAACATGATAATTTGTGTTTACATTTCCAACATCTATCTGACATATTTTTAAACATTTTTGCTAATCTTGCTGGTGGCAAGTGCCATCTATAAAACATTTTATATAAATTTTCTTTATAAGAAGTTGACATTGTCAAATATATATTTTCAAACATATATTTGAAAATTCCAGAGTGGTTGTCAACTATGGAAGCATTTGTACACCCAAACTTGGTGGACTTTGAAAAAATCTGGACATAGAGAGATATTCTAAATTCTGAAGGGAATCTAAAAACTAAACAAGAAATGGAAAATCAGGGGATCAACTTGTCGTGGTGGGCACATTTACAGATGCAAACTAGACATGAAAAAGACGTTAAACTGTATGGATTTTATAAAGAACAGACGGTATTTGATAAGACTTTGTTAACTCCAGATGAGAAACTAATTAAGAAAATGTATGACCCTAACCCTCTTACGGAGATATGTACCTTTGCCATTGTGGATGGTGCGATTCAGTCAGAGGTGTGGAAGTTGATCTCAAAGCAGGTGTGACCACCTCTCTGGGGTAATGTTGAACCCCCCTTTTCTAATCTCACCCCCTATATAAATAAATACTAAATAAAACAATTTTGCAGTCGCTTTTCTTCTGATCCAGGTATTTTGGACCTGATCTAGCAGTGCTGCTATCCAGAATAATCAACAATGCTGGAAATGTTGATACTTGCCATGGTCAACCAGCCAATGAGGTTAGGAGGAACAAGTGATGTCACAAAGAATGGCTTTGATTTGGCTTGGACCTGAAGTTTGGGAAAAATCAATCCTCAGGGCCTGGCCCATTAATTTTAGTAGCAAACTATTGAGAGGTTTTTGCAAGTGAGGCCTGAATTAGCTTCAACCAAAGCTGGTGAATCTAAATCACTATATTTGGACTTTGGTTTGATAGAGCCATTAATAGAATGAGCTAACTGCTTATTTTGTCAGTTACCTAATCGATTGTGAGTTTGTGACTGTGCTGAAGAATTTTGCAAGTGGACCCCAGTACAGCTAGTCCTCGGTTTACAGCTATTTGTTTAGTGACCGTCCGAGGTTACAATGGCGCTGAAAAAAGTGACTTAGGACCATTTTTCAAACAATTGTTGCGGCCTCCCCGTGGTCATGTGATCAAAATTTGGATGCTTAGCAACTGACATGTATAGTATTTATGACAGTTGCGATGTCTCAAGGGTCATGTGATCATTTTTGCCACTTTCTGCCATGCAAAGTCAATGGGGAAGCCAGGTTGTAAAATGGGGCAAAACTCATTTAACAACTGTCTTGCCTAGCAAGAGAAATTTGGGGCTCAGTTATGGCCATTAACTCGAGGATTATCTGTACTTAGGCAAGGAAAGGGAAGGTGGCATTTGTGATCAAGAATGTCCGGGCAAAGATGTGGAGGTAGAAAGCTCAACATTCATATGTTAAAAAAAAACATGCCTAGACCATGGCCTGCTTGCTCTCCGCAGGGAACACGCTTTAAGGGAGTTAATTAACAGCATTCACATGACAAGAGGAAGGAGTGTGTCTACCAGCATATCTGCAGGAGAGGCAAGCTATAAATTCATTTAGAGAATACGTAAGGTAGCGTGTGGACATTGAGACTTTGGGAAAAGTTCAGAGAAGAGCAACTAAGATGATCAAAGGCCTGGAGATTAAAACATATGAAGAATGGTTGTAGGAATTGGGTCTGGCTAGTCTAAACAAAAGAAGAAATAGGGGAGACATGACAGCAGTGCTCCAGTATTTGAGGAACTGTCACAAAGAGGAGGGGGGGGGTCAACTTATTTTCCAAAGCACCAGAAGGCAGGACAAGAAACACTGGTTGGAAACTGACCAAAGAGAGAAGCAACCTGGAATTAAGGAGAAACTTCCCGACACTGAGAACAATTAACCAGTGGAACGGCTTCCCTCCAAAAGTTGTGGGTGCTCCTTCCCTGGAGGTTTTTAAGAAAAGATTGGACATTCACTTGTCTGAAGTGATACAGGATCTCCTGCTTGAGCAGGGGGCTGCACTAGAAGACCCCCAAGGTCCCTTCCAGCTCCATTCTGACGTGCCTGCGTGTATTGTGCAAATCTAATGCATTGGGCTGGGTTAGAGATCAATTTTGCAAGCGAGTAAGTCACTTCTGCACGCAGGCGAACGTGTCGCGGGAAGATAAATCTCTGCGAATGCTGGCCCGGAACAGATCGCAAACCCCATCATCCACAGACAACGCGCGAGCGACACCAGCATAGCCGCGAAACGCTGGCTCGCGGTCTCTGCAGCCCCCGCCTGCCCGGGGGCTGGAAGGACCGGAGGGGGCGGAGCGGATGGAGGAGGGGGCGGAGCTTCAGTATCCCCGCCTCGGAATTCCCCGGAAGAGGCGACGTCACTCGTTTCGCCGAACGCTCACATGGCCGCGGCTGTTTCCGGGATGGAGGAGGAGGAGGAGGAGGAAGCATGGTTGATGGACTCCCTGAGGCTGTGAGTCGCCTTCCCTGGCCCGGAGGGGGAAGACAATTCCCATCCTCCCCAGCCAAGCCTCCTCCCCGACCTGGCCCAGAATGATGGGAGTTCTACCAGCGGCCGGAGAGGCTTTGCACCCCCGTGCCTAGAAGGGAGGGAGGGGCTCCTTGCTGGGTGTGAAGCGTCCCCCCCAAGCCTTCCCCTCCCCCATCTCTCCCCTCCCCCCCCCACTCGACTTCAGTTCCTCATTTTAGCCAAGCGGGGTTTTGTTTCCAAACTCGAGCAAAAATAAAAGAAGAAATAGGGGAGATATGAGAGCAGCGTTCCAATATCTGAGGGGCTGCCACAAGGCAGAGGGGGCCAGGTCGTTCACCAGAGCACCAGAGGGAAGGACCAGAAACAATCTTAATTCCTAGACTTACAACCACAATAGAGACCAGAATTTCCACTGCTGATCAAAGGAGTTGTTAAGTGAGTTTAGCAGTGGCTAACTGAATCACCTGGTCCTTAAGTGAATCTGGCTTCCCCCATTGATCCTGCTTGTCGGAAGCCAGCTGGGAAGATTGCAAATGATGATCACATGACCCCTAGTCAGCACAACGCCAGTTGCCAAGCACCCTAATTTTGATCACCCACGGGCAAGCTGTTATGGCTGTAAATGTGAGGACCGGCCATATGTCACTTTTTTTTTAATGCCATTGTAATTTTGAAAAGGTTAAATGGTTGTAAGCCAAGGACTATCTGTAGTTACCAGCATGAGTCTTGCCTTGAAGTGCTCCATCTACTGATGGCCTTGCTTATTATTGCACTATTCCAGAGATCTTCAAACTTGACCCTTTTATGACTTGTGGACTTCAACTCCCAGCATTCCTCAGCCAGCGTTGCTGGCTGAGGAATTCTGGGAATTGAAGTCCACAAGTCATAAAAGGGCCAAGTTTGAAGACCCCTGCATTATTCAGACAACCCCAAGGTTTGCAGGGCCAGATGATGCTCCCCTTTCTAGCCTCAAGATAGGAGCATTGCCATCTTTAGTGGGGCAGACTATTGACTCTTCCCTTCCCCTTCTGAATATTCCTTCTCTCCACCACCACCCCTTTCATCTTGCTTAGATACAACGACCTCCATCTCTTTGAACTTCCCGGGCCCACCAGAGTCATCGAATGGACAGGAGACCAACGTGAGTGACCGTTCATTGCCTTTCAAGGTTTGACCTGGATGGGTTGGGGCAGCTGCTGTGGGTGGGTGTGTGTCCTGAGGAGGGTTTTTTTTCTGGGGGGGGGGCTCCACATTTCCATACCATGGAGACAGATCGTGATTTCCTCCAAAACAACCATCCGCCTCTCTGGTAGAACAGATCATGAAATGGGATCCCCTTTTTGGGAAGGCTAAGTTGAAAATAATTGCTCCAGTGGGGTAGGTAAGGAGAGGGCTTAAAAATGTGGGTTCCCAGTAAGCATAGATAGTCCTCAACTTATGACCAACACTGGAACCAGAATGAGTGTAGCTAAGAAGGGGTTGTTAAGAGAATTGGATTTTATGAACTTTTTGCCATGGTTCAGTGGTGGGATTCAGCCGGTTCGCACCAGTTCAGCAGAACCAATAGCTATTTTTTTGTTGCCCAGGCCCAGAATGGACTTCCGGAAGCGGCATCCACACAGAGAACCAGTTGTTTCACACATTGAATCCCTCCACAGCCATGGTTGTTAAGTGAATCACTAGTTGTTAAGTAAAGTCAGATTTTGGCTTAATGTCATGGTTCCGAAAGATGAAATTCTTCAAAGAACTTTGAGGCATTGTTTACCTTAAAGAATCTTTAATCAAGCAGCATAGTTTATGTAGGCACATAGTTGAAGCCAAAATCTGACTTTCCCTCCCTTCAGCACATAGATCAAAGCACAATTTCCTCCTACAACTAACAGTCATAAAACACATTCTCCAATTAGTTTGAAATGCTGGCTTCCTGCCCAGTTTTCTCTCCTGCCATTCTTTATCAGCTCTTGTTACCATATTGTATGTCTAACTAACTCCCATCACATTCCTCCCCCTCCCCCAGATCATCTAATTCTAAGAGTACAGTATAAGAAAGAAAAAGGCTGCATCTCCATCTGTTGTCTAAAGCAAGAACATCCAATGTTAGCAGCATTGACAATGCGGTTGTTAAGTGAATCAGACTTTACCCATTAACTTTGTGTGTCAGAAACTGGCTGGGAACATTGCAAACGCATGACTGTGGGAATGCTGTGACCCTTGTAAGTGGGGGGACAAGTTGTAAGTCACTTCTTTCAGTGCCATTGTAAACTTTGGTTCCTAAATGAATGGTTGTAAGTTGAGGACAGCCTGTAATGTGGCCATCTTGCCTGATGACATTGCAACACTGAGAATGACCGTGATTCTCTCTCCAGGCATTTGTGTCGCTGGATACGAGCACGGGAGCAGGAACGAAATTTTGCAGCTCCTTCTGCCTCCGAGGCTGCTTGCAAAACAAAATAAGGTAGAGATCACACTGGAAAGGTTGTCTGCAAGATGGCGGCTGCAAAAGCATCTTGTGGAACTCACCTCCACTAAATGTAGGGACTGCTCTTAACTAAGCTGTTAACTTAGATGGCTTTCTAGGGAGACTGGATAAATTCACCCAGGATAGAAAACCCAACATCTGGATTTGCCTTACAGGTAATGCTTGACAATTGAGCCCAACATTTCTGTTGTTCAGCAAGACATTTTCAAGTTAGTTTCGCCCCCTTTTACAGTGTTTCTTGCCACAGTTGTTAAGTGAATCACTGTGGTTGATAAATTAGTAATGTGGTTGTTAAGTGAATCTGGCTTCCAATAATTCTGTAATTCTATAGTCCATATAATGGCTTTGCTTGATTTTCTCTTCTTCCAGTAACATTCTCTTTTGCCAACCTTAAATTAATACAGTTCTTATTATTTGAATAAATGACAATTAAATATAGATATTTTCTCGTGTTTCTGTAAATAAGAACCACCTCAATACAAAGCTTCTTTTCTAATTGATTGCCTCGTCATAGATCCTGTTTACATTTTTTAAAAAATATAAATCCAGACAACGTGCTGTCTACCAAATATTAAGGTGATTATGTTAAAAATCAATAAAACATTAAAAAAAAGAATCTGGCTTCCCCCTTGATTTTGCTTGTCAGAAGGTCGCAAAAGGCAATCACGTGGCCCTGGGACAGAGCAACGGTCATAAATATGAACCAATTGCCAAGCGTCTGATTTTTGATCACGTGATCATGGGGAAGCTGCAAAGGTCGTAACTGAAAAATGGTCATAAGTCACTTTTTTTAGTGCCGCTATAATTCTGAGCGATCACTAAATGAACTGTTGTAAGTCAAGGACTACCTGTATATAGGAAACATCAGAAGACAGAAGTATCACCCCAAGCTTAGCCAGCATCCCAGAGCCTCTTGCCCAACCTGATACTCTCCAAATATGAGGATTACAGCTCCCATCATGGTATCCGGCCCTCTCAATTCCTGACAAATAGATGGGGAAGAAATGGAGGTAGTGACAGATTTTATCTTCCTGGGCTCCAAGATCACCACAGATGGGGACTGCAGCCAAGAAATTAAAAGACGCTTGCTCCTGGGGAGGAAAGCTATGGCAAATCTAGACAGCATACTAAAAAGCAGAGACATTACCCTGCCAACAAAAGTACGTATAGTCAAGGCCATGGTTTTCCCAGTTGCAATGTATGGCTGTGAAAGTTGGACCATAAGAAAGGCTGAGTGCCAAAGAATTGAGGCCTTTGAACTATGGTGCTGGAGAAGACTCCTGCGAGTCTCCTGGACTGCAAGGCGATCAAACCGGTCAGTCCTAGAGGAGATCAACCTTGACTGCTCTCTAGAAGGCCAGATCCTGAAGTTAAAACTCAAGTACTTTGGCCACCTAATGAGAAGGAAGGACTCACTGGAGAAGAGCCTAATGCTGGGAAAGATTGAGGGCAATAGAAGAAGGGGACGACAGAGAATGAGGTGGCTGGATGGAATCACTGAAGCAGTAGGAGTGAGCTTAAATGGACTGCAGAAGATGGTAGAGGACAGGAAGGCCTGGAGGAACGTTGTCCATGGGGTTGTGATGGGTCGGACACGACTTCACAACTAACAACAACAATGTAGCCCAGGGTAGATATAACAGCTCTCAGGGTCCCCACGGTCACGTGATCAAAATTTGGGCACTTGACGATCAGCGTGTATATTTATGACAGTTGCAGCATCCCGGGATCGTGTGATTGCCACTTGCAACCTTTCCCAGCTGGTCTTTGACAAGCAATGGGGGAAGCCATGTGATTCATTTAACAATGCAGTGATTCACTTAACGATGGCAGCAAAGGTAAAACTAGATATGACTCATTTGATAACCACCTTGTTTGAAGTGTATAAATAAAAGGGTATAAATCATTCCCCACCATTCAGTTAGAACTGAAGAAGTGCCTTGGATGAGAAGTGAAACATTTTCAAGGAAAAAAAAAAACCCAAGAAAGTCAACGTGTCTTTTGGAAAAGCACTTTTGGGACAGCCTTGCTTAGCAACGCAAATTCTGCTCTCATTCGTGGTTGTAAGTCAAGGATTGCCTGTACTCAGCTATCCCAGTGAACCAAGGCGGACTCTGCTTCTCTTTCCCACAATCAGCCAAAATCATCTCAATGCTACCAGTAGCCAGTAGCACCAGCAGGGTACAGGCCGCGCAGATGTTAACTTTTTCCTTTATTATTTTTTTAAAAAAGTTGTAACCAATGTTATCTTGCTGTTTTGGTCTGTTTTATTTTCTTTCAATATGGTGAGTGGATCCTTGCACTTTTTTTTTTGCAGGGCTTATGTTCGGAGAGAGATTTCAAGGTTGAAAGGGGTGGAATCTGTGATCGCCCCATCTTCAGGCTCAAACATGTCCCGGGAACCAGGTAGGTGGCTAAGAGCCTTGTTGATGACTTAAGTTGAGTTAGGAATGCCTAAGTAAGGCCACACTTGGAATACTGCATCCAGTTTTGGTCACCACGATGTAAAAAAGATGTTGAGACTCTAGAAAGAGTACAGAGAAGAGCAACAAAGATGATCAGGGGACTGGAGGCTAAAACATATAAGGAACGGCTGCTGGAATTGGGTATGTCTAGTTTAATGAAGAGAAGGACGAGGGGGGACATGCTAGCAGTGTTCCAATATCTCAGGGGCTGCCACAAAGAAGAGGGAGTCAAGCTATTTTCCAAGGCGCCTGAAGGCAGGACAAGGAGCAACGGATGAAAACTAATCAAAGAGAGAAGCAACCTAGAACTAAGGAAAAACTTCCTGACAGTTAGAACAATTAACCAGTGGAACAACCTGCCTCCAGAAGCTGTGAATGCTCCAACGCTGGAAGTTTTTAAGAAGAGACTGGACAGCCATTTGTCTGAAAGGGTATAGGGTTTCCTGCCTGAGCAGGGGGTTGGACTAGATGACCTCCAAGGTCCCTTCCAACATCATTATTATTGTTATTGTTGTTGTTATTATTGGAAGGCCTAAAAGGAGAAGCAAAAAGTATATTTGAAAGATACATTACTGGCTCTTAGGCATGAGCGCTAGCCTGGGCAACAGATAGGGTGGTCTTGTGAATACACTGGTGAGTTTCCCACATTGCACACAGCCATGAGGTGGTTGATGGGACTGTGATTTTTAGGCTCTGAAGCACTCAGGATGCTAATGTGCAATCAAACACAGGAACCCCCCCCCCCAAACCGATAATCAAGGCTCACTGCAGTATTTATGTAACACTGTGCACTATAGGAACTCCTGCAGACAAAAGAATGCCCTCATATTTATATATTTCAGGAAAGGAGGAGAAAATTATAGTCACACATATGCATAGGTTAATAGATGAGGTAAGCATGAATATTCATAATCAGCAAACCTCAAGTTACAGATAGTCCTCGACTTACAGCAGTTCATTTAGTGACCAAAGTTACAATGGCATTGAAAAAAGTGACTTATGATTGCTTTTCACTTACAACCGGTGCAGCATCCTCATGATCACATGCTTAAAATTCAGATGCTTGGCAATTAACTCATATTTATAACGGTTTCAGTGTCCCCGGGTCATGTGATCACCTTCTGACAAGCTTAAGTCAATGGGGAAGCCAGATTCACTTAAACCTGTTACTAACTTAACAACTGCAGTGATTCACTTAAAAACTCTGGCAAGAAAGGTTGTAAAATGGGGCAAAATTCACTTAACAAATGTTTCATTTAGCAACAGAAATTTTGGGTTCAATCGTGGTCGTAAGTCGAGGACTACCTGTACTTCAAGCAAGAGTTATAGTCTTAATAAAAAGAAACACTTCAATTACATTGCCGTAGAATTTTGATAAAGCATACAAAGAACTGAGGATTTCAAGGCTGCCTCAGTTGCCACACATTCCTTCTATGTTTCTTATCTGTTTTCCTCGTATTCATCCTGGTTTAAAGATACCCAGCATGAATCTCCATGGCCCTCTGTGAATTCAACAGACTCCACATCAAGTCTTTCTGGGGCCCCTTCAGAAGGTCACCAGATCCTCATGTTTCACGGGACAGAAGTGAGACATTATGAAGCAGATAAGTTGGTTTCCCACCGTTTTCTGAACTCAAAGCTCAGGTTAACCTGAAATTGTTGCCACATTGTTCACACATTTCTGAATAAGGTTGGCCCGCATGCTAGTGACTCTCTACTGCATCATTGGCGGTGGAATTCATTGCCACAACATCTGAGGATGGTTCCACCTTGGATGGCTTTGAGAGATATGCAACCCTCTATCTAGACCCTCTCCAGTCGGGCTTCAGGCCGGGGTACAGCACGGAAACGGCATTGGTCACGTTGGTAAATGATCTCTGGAGGGCCCGGGACAGGGGTTATTCCTCTGTCCTTGTTCTTTTGGACCTCTCAGCGGCTTTTGATACTGTGGACCACAGTATCATGCTGCGGCGGTTGGGTGGGTTGGGAGTGGGAGGNCAAAGTCGCTCGGATCCGAGAGGGTTTGGACTCCGACTGGGTGGCCCCGGGGGAGGAGGCAAGGGCAGGTCTTGAGACTGTTGTATGGGAGGAGTTTGACTCTGTGGCTCCCGAGGACGTGGACAGGATCCTGGGGGGACTGAATGCAACCACATGTTTATTGGATCCGTGTCCCTCCTGGTTGGTACTGGCGGCTCGGAAGGGAACACGAGCCTGGCTCCAGGGAATTACAAACGCTTCTTTACGGGAGGGTGCCTTCCCCGCGGTCCTAAAGGAGGCAGTGGTGAGGCCCCTCCTTAAGAAGCCCTCCCTGGACCCAGATGTATTGGCAAATTATCGTCCAGTCTCCAACCTAGGCTTTGTGGCGAAGGTTGTTGAGAGTGTGGTTGCACAGCAGTTTCCCCGGCACCTGGAGGAAACGGTCTATCTAGACCCTCTCCAGTCGGGCTTCAGGCCGGGGTACAGCACGGAAACAGCATTGGTCACGTTGGTAAATGATCTCTGGAGGGCCCGGGACAGGGGTTATTCCTCTGTCCTTGTTCTTTTGGACCTCTCAGCGGCTTTTGATACTGTGGACCACAGTATCATGCTGCGGCAGTTGGGTGAGTTGGGAGTGGGAGGCACTGTGATGCGGTGGTTCTCCTCCTTCCTCGCCGACCGTACACAGTCTGTATTGGCAGGGGGACAGAGGTCGACCCCAAGGCCCCTAACTTGTGGGGTTCCACAGGGGTCGGTCCTCTCTCCGCTTCTGTTCAATATTTATGTGAAGCCGCTGGGGGAGATCATTCGTGGTTTTGGGGTGGATTTCCATCAGTACGCTGATGACACTCAGCTGTACATATCCACTCCGGGCCACCCCAACGATGCCTTTGACGTGATGACCCGGTGTCTGGAGGCCGTGAGGGTCTGGATGGGAAGGAACAGACTCAGGCTCAACCCGTCCAAGACCGAGTGGCTGTGGTTACCGGCGCCTCGGCATAGTCAGCTGATTCCATCGCTGACTATAGGGGGCGAAACTTTGGCCCCCTCGGAGAGGGTACGCAACTTGGGTGTCCTCCTGGATTCACGGCTGACGCTGGAAGACCAGTTGTCGGCAGTGACCAGGGGGGCGTTTTATCAGGTTCACCTGATTCACCAGTTGCGGCCTTTTCTGGACCGGGACGCCCTACGCACGGTCACTCACGTACTTGTCACCTCCCGCCTGGACTACTGTAATGCTCTCTACATGGGGCTCCCCTTGAGGAGCACCCGGAGGCTCCAGCTGGTCCAAAATGCGGCCGCGCGGGCGGTGTNCAGCTTGCAGGACTGGCCTAGGGTAATTTTTAGAGGGGTTTTAATTAATATTTTAAATTGGACAATCTTTAAATATTTCTTTTAATTAATTTTAAACCTGTATTGTTATTTATGTATTTTAATTGATTGTCAGCCGCCCTGAGTCCTACGAGGAGAAGGGCGGGATATAAATCTAAATAATAAATAAATAAATAAATAATAAACCAAACAAAACCTATGTTGTATCGTAGTAGGATGGTGTGGGTCATCTTATTGTGTTCAGGCTAGAGCTGTTCCCACCAACATCCTGACCCACCAACTGTCCAATCCAGTTTAACCTTCTTCAGAGCAGTGTTTCTCAACGTCAGCAACTTTAAGATCGATGGACGACAACGTCCAGAATTCTGAGGTTTTTGCCCTTCTACTCCACCCATCTTAAAGTGGAGCCTTTATGTGATGGGGACAGAATTATCTTCATCACTCGGTTTCTTCTTGATTTGTGCTTTCAGCTTGCTGGTATCCAGTGGCCCACCAGACAGTGCTCTGCAGGTTTGGCGTGTGGAATCAGATGAAACAGGTATGCTTCCAAGAAACTGCTCTGCTTCTCAACTGGGTTTCGACTTTAGGATGGCCAAACCCCACTCAAAGTTTGCAGGGACAAGGACGAAAAGTTTTCTCGTTCCCACAATTTAATTCATGGCTCTTCTAAAGAAGACAGCCGAGTCTTTCTCCCAACTGTTAGCATAAACCAGTGTTTCTCAGCCTTAGAAACTTGAAGATTGGGTGGACTTTGATTCCCAGAATTCCTCAGTTAGCTGTGAGACACACTGGCACAAACAATGCTAATTGTGTGAATTTTGAAGGAATATCTGGTTTGGTGAAATTGAATGGGAAAAAAAACTTCCCGAAAGCTTTGCACGACGCATATCTCTTCCAGGTTGATGTTGGATGATGTTAGTTCATCTCTGACATCTTTGCCGTTCTATTCCTTTGAGGATACAAAAGAAAGCAGGAATTGTTTTTTCTCTGGCCTTGCCCTTATAATTCTTGACAAAAGTGCTGCTCACCAGTGGTCAGAAGCTGGCACTTTTCTCGATGTCAGTATGATTTCAGCCAGGCACCCGGTAGAATAACCAGGAAAAAAAAGCTAAGCTGCAATCTCCAAAAGGGAGAGAAATTGGAGAAAAGTGATGCTTTGGAAACTACAGGCAGTTCTTGACTTACAACGGTTTGTTTAGCAACCATTCAAAGTTACAGTGCCACTAAAGTGATTTACAACCGTTCCTGGCACTTACGGCCATCACAGCATCCCCAAAGTCACGTGATCAAAATTTGGATGGAGTGTACTTATAACAGTTTTGGGGTCCCCAGGGTAATGTGGTTGCCATTAATGACCTTGGCAGACAGCTTCTGTTCTGTCCCAGCCTACTTGAGCTCCTTGTTAAGTTCACAAGGAGAAAACCCCTCTTCAAATCAAGCAGGCAGAAACCACAGGACAAATCCAAACCCCTTTTTATTATTTACAGACCTGAGTAAAATGTCCAAAGGCAAACAAAACACAATTCACTGAAACTTGATTCCTTAACACAGAGAGTTGCCTTCAGCAACCAGCACCTCCCACACCTTCCCTTTTATTATGCAGCCCAAGGTGTGGCTTCCTAATGCCTTCCCCTTTGCCTTTGCCCCATTGCATTCCTCTGTCCAACTCTCTTTGCCTGTTGTTATGAGCATCCTGAATGTCTTCCAGCTGTGAGTCATTACTGTCCGACTCAGCCTCCCAGCACAGCTGTGTCTCAGCTTGAGCGCAAGTGGAGGGGCCAGGCTCCTCGTCAGACTAAGTCTTGGAGCACATCAGAGCCTTCCTCTGACTCTGATGTCACTCCAGCTCCTCCTCCTCCTCCTCTGACTCCCCAGATTCGGCTGCCGGGTCCACTGGCTGACGTGGAATCACAACAGCTTCTGACAAGCAAAATCAATGGGGGGGAAGATGGATTTGCATAATGACCATGTCATTCGCTTAATAATCATTGCAAAAATTATCATAAAATTGAGTGTCTGGTTTAACAACTACTTTCCTTACGACAGACATGTCAAACACAAGGCCCGGGGGCCGGATGCAGCCCGCAAAGTGGTTTCATGTGGCCCGTGAAGCCATCCTGGAAACAGTGAGGGAATGGCCCTTGCTGCCTTGGCCCTGGCCCAGGCCAGCCAGGAGCCAATGTACAATTTTGTGGTGGCCATCTTGGCACTTGCCCTGGTGGACCATGCCTTGGCACTTGCCCTGGTCCCACCCCTTTCTGCCAGAGAACCTCAGATCTGTCCCACTCCTGCCCAGGCCCTCCATAGGCACCCTTGACACGAATGATGTAGAACTGGCCACGCCCACCCAATAGGCCACACCCACTCCATCCACGCCCACCCAGTAGGCTGCACCCACTCTGGCCACACCCACCCTGCCCCCCCAGGGCAACCGCAATGCTGATGCGGCCCTCAGTGAAATTGAGTTTGACACCCCTACCTTATGGGAAGTCTCGTTCCCAATTGTGTTCATAAGTCAAGGACTACTTGTAGATGGAAATTAAGTCTTGTGGAATTCTTATTTCTTCCTCTCCTCCACCCTAGATATGATTAAGCTACTGAGTGTCATCTCTCCCACAAAGACAGAAGATACTTCCTGGTCCAAAATTGCAACCAGCTGTGTCAAACCAGCCTGCATCCTCTACGGGCAAAGAATCGGCAATCTCCAAATGATGGAAATTGAATCGGGGCAGAATCTTTGGGTGGCAGGTAGACAGTTTGATTGAAAACCCTCTCCAAAATCCTAAGGGTCCCTTTCTTAGAAACAGAACTTCCTAAGCCAAGGGGTTAGAAATAGGGAGAGATGCTAGTTTGTTTGTTTTTCTTATTTCTGTTTCTCTTTTTGATTCTTGACCTCAGGTTAAATTCAAGGGAACAGGAAGGAGAATGAATAGACTTTAATATGTGTATCTTTGATTGATTTTCATCCCACCTTTTTTACTTCATAAGTAACTCACGGGAACAAACATATGTAACACATTTTTTTCCTATTTTCCCCACAACAGTCCTTTGAGGTGGGTTGGGCTGAAAGAGAGTGACTAGGCCAGTAGTGGCAAACCTATGGCACGGGTGCCAGAGGCGGCACTCAGAGCCCTCTCTGTGGGCACACACGCTGTCGCCCTGAGTCCTAGGCCTTCAGCTGGGTTTTATAAAACCTTTTCGCTTTAGGCCTCTGCCGCCGTGTACAAAAAAAAAAGGTTCAATCAATCAGTCAATTTCAACTTTTTGCGGGGAAAAAAAAGATCTTGCAAAGTTGGAATTGATTGATTGAACTTTTTAGTCCCACCCAGTCTGCTGTTACCACCGCAGCCACGCCCACCCAATGGGCCACACCCACCCGATGGGCCACACCCACCCAGCACCCGACGATGCATAAGTGGGTTTTGGGTTGCAGTTTGGGCACTCAGTCTCTAAAAGATTCGCCATCACTGGACTAGGCCAAAGTCATAAGGCAGGACTAGAACTCAGAGCCTCCTGATGATTGGCCCAAAGACATCTAGCCGGTTTTCTCACCTAACGTGGAACTAGAATTCACAGCCTCCTGGTGATTGGCCAAAAGTTTCGTGCCTAAAGAGAGACTACAACCCATTGTCTCATCATAACTGGTTCAAAGTCAGTTATGGGGGGGAGGTGGCAGAATTCTCTCCCACAACCCAACGGCTCTTTTTCCTCTTTCGATCTACAGCCTCTGCCAGCCCTGACAAAATCGCCAGTCTGGACTTCCTGGATGAAGTCACTGCTGTGGTGTGTGGTGCCAAAGGGCAGCTGTTCCTTGTGGACTTCCGGCAGCACCAGGGCATTCTGGGAGCTCTCAAAGAGGCTCAGACCCCTTGGGCCCAGACAGAGAGGCTGAGCTGGTGTGCAGGAATCAGCTCTGGAGAGACACCACTGATTGCCCGTCTCTCCTCGGGTGGCCTCGTTGTGTTGACGGACATCAGACACCCCTCCAGCCCCCTGAAAGTGGCCCAGTGCTGCATTCCCACCCCTAACCTCCGTGGGGCAGATTTCCTGTCCATCAGCTTCGCACCTGTACTGGGCAACACCTTAGCGGTATCAGGTAAGCTGTGGTGGTGCTTCGCTTGGCAAGGCCGCTAGCTACTTTTGCCGCCATCAGTCTTATGGGGTCTGCAGGGGTGGGTGGTGTGCAAAAGGGAGGCCACCCCAAGGAGCAACCTAAATGAAAAGAAGGGCCAATTTTCAGAGGGGCTCAGCTGGGTCATGTTACTTGTGGGTCACAACTTCCTTCTCCTATTGTCCCCATAAGAACAACCCAATGAGGTGGATTGGGTTGGGAGAGAGGGACTGGTCCAAGGTCACCCAGTTGGCTTTCATGCCTAAAGCGGGACTAGAACTCCCAGTCTGCTGATGACTGATTCGAAGTCACCCAGAAGCTTTTATGCCTAAAGCAGGACCAGAACTCACAATCTCCTGGTTTCTAGGTCAGCACCTTTAACCAATAGACCAAATGCTGCCTTTTCTTGATTTCCCCCCCCATAACCCTCTGGGTTGGGGCTTTGGGTTTAATAAAGAACACGTTTTTTTCACACCATGTTTCTCTTATGTGCCGCCCCCCCCCCCCAGCTTCAACCCACTTTTCTGTCTCTCTTCCACTTCTCCAATGAAGCATTTACTTGCATTTCTCATTTCTTCAAGGTTTCGACGCGACCGTTCAGGTCTACAATACAAAGGACTGGGATTTCTCAGGGCAGGAAGCCAAACCGGTATTCATCCACAAAGGACACATCTTTGGCACCCCAGGCAAGGATGGAGGCAGTCCGATGGTCACCACCCACACTTGGCACCCTTGGAAGCCCCAGACATTACTCTCGGCTGCAAGCGATGGATCACTGCACGTGTGGGACTGGTCTGACCCTCGAGCAAGTGAGCCAGTCTGACACCCTCTGTCTCCCTTGCCTTGGGGAATCTCCTCTGAGGTCCCCTGCAATCCCCACCCTTCACCACATATCCTTGAGTCTCAGGATCTAATGATATGTGAGAATAACCTTGGGAGACAGAAGGAAGAGCTGAGAATCTCATAGACATTTGGTTAGTTTAGGGCAGGGGTAGGCAATCTTGGCTCTTTTATGACTCGTGGACTTCAACTCCCAGAATTCCTGAGCCAGCATGGCTCAGCTTGGAAACCTCTCCCTTTCCCCTCAGCATGGCTGGCTCAGGAATTCTGGGAGTTGAAGTCCACGAATCATAAAAGAGCCAAGGTTGCCTACCCCTGGTTTAGGGTTTCTCAACCTTGGCAGATGGAAGATGCGTGGATTTCCACTCCCAGAATTCCCCAGTTGGCACAGATGGACTACTCCTCCCAGGATCTCCCAGCTGGCATAGGAGAACTTTTCACGAAACACTGACCATGAAGCCGGATAACTTGCTGCTCCTTTGAAGCTATATCACAACTTTCTCAAACTGTTGTTAAGTCCACCCGTTTACAAACACACATTCTGGACATCTGACACGTGGCACGCTTGCTATCCCTAATTGCATTCAGTTTCAGATGGCAAATGGTTTCTTTAAGTGAATTGGATCCCATAAGAATTTGCTCCTTCCTCTCGCTTTGGAAAACTGCCCAAGGAAAACAATGGATTCATTAATGTTTATTTTTTTATTTTCTTTAATTAAGCAAAAGCCGAAAGGCATAAGAAAACAATAGAAAAAAGAAGATCTATACCCAAAGAGGGTTATATGTTTCCAACGCTGGAGAGTCCATTTTTGTTGTCCATCCATCAAATTCCGTTATCAAGTATGCCCCTCTGCTACTTGCGTACTAGATAGCAAGTCAACGGAGGGAGAGAAGGAATTTCATTTCTCAAAATGGTAAAAGGCCATCGTTTCTCTGTTCAAGATAAGGGGAGAAACGGTGCACAAGTCTGTCAATGCTCTGGTCACTGAGAAGCACCACAAGTGTCTCGGAGATGAACAGCGGATTAAAAAAGTGAGTGTACGCCAAGACAAGGCCAACCAATAGACAGCAGACAAACAACAACAACAACAGAATTTTGGCTGCCACCCATAAGCAATGCAGAACCTTCCTTTTCTTTGACCTGTCCCGGGCCACCCCCACCAGCCTGGCCTCCACTAGTTCATGCATCAGGATGCCCGATGGCATCTGGGTCTCCTGGTCCAGCCTCACAAATGTGGCCTGCTGCACGCAGAGATCCCGTTGGTTCTGCAGATCTTTGATGCGCTTCCTCAGGTTTTCTCTGACTTTCTGAATAGTTGCAATTTTCTCTTTCAGTTGGATGGACTGTTTTTTTTCTACACCGTAGTTGTGCTCATTCTCAGCCAGTTTGTCCTCCAGATTACGCAGGTACTTGTGAACCTCTGATGGAAGGTTCTGCATCTCTTTGAGGTCATTCTCATGGGCAGGCTTGTCATTTTTGAAGACGGCCACTTGGCTGGTGACCTCGTGCATTTCCTCATTGAGGTCGTTGTTGGCTTTCACCAAAGACTTGTTCTGCAGCGCTAATTCGTGGATCACTGTGTTGGCAAGGTCCAACTTTTCTCTGATGTCCTCCACAGTTTTCTGCAGGTGTTCCATTGTGGACTTAAGGTCATCCACTGTCTCCCTTAGACATCTCTGCTGTTCTCTGATGTGTTCCTTGTCTTTGAGAAAATCCTGGTTTTCAGAGTCCAAGTAGGTTATGTTCTCTGTCAGTTCCTCTATCTGGAGACGGAGATTCCTATTGGTTGCTGAGAGATCCTCCAATGACATTGCTTTTCTGATCTTGCCTCCTATTTAAATAAATACTAAATAAAATAATTTCTGAGTCCCTCTTCTTCTGATCCACTTGTTTTGAACTGGATCTGGCAGTGCTGCTGTCCAAAAGAATCAACGATGCCAGAAATGTTGACATTTGCCATGGCAACCTCCAGCCAATGAGGTTAGGAGGAGCTCATGATGTCATTAAGAATGACTTTGATTTGGCTTTGAAAAAAAACAACCAGTCACCTGATTGCCTACACATCAGGGCCTGGCCCTTTAATTTATTAGCAAATTATTAAAGAGGTTTTTGCAAGTGAGACATGCATTAACTTCAACCTAGTCTAGTCCATCTGAATCACTTTGTGTAGGCTTTGTTAGAAGCTGGCTCTATCATGCTGGCTCAGGAATTCTGGGAGTTGAAGTCCATAGGTTGTAAAAGGGCCGTAATTGCCCACCTCTGACCTAGAAAAACCCCTAAAGATGGCTGGCTCAGGAACAGTCCCACACATCCAATACCAACCGTCTTTAGAGATTTCTGTAGGTCAGGGGTAGACAACAATGGCCCTTTTATGACCTATGGACTTCAACTCCCAGAATTCCTGGACAAGCATGGGAGTTGAATTCGATTCTGGACGTTGAAGTCCACAGGTCGTAAAGGAACCATAGTTGCCATCTCTGGTCTAGGTTGTAAGTTGTCAAGTCCAAATACTGTATGAGTCACATTTCCAGCAAAAGTTGCCTTTGAGATACACAATAAACATATTAAGAAAAAAAGTAAAGGTCCAGACCTCAGTCGGTTTCAAGGACAGTTTGGTGGTGAAAGAATGATATGTAACAAAAAAGTAGTCCAGCAATCTTATCAGCTGCAATTTTGGAGGGTAAAGCTGCAAGGTTGGAGGATATGTTATGAAGAAAATTATCATTCTAAGATAATTGGTGATCATGGTGTAAAAAAAACAAAAAACAGGTCCAGTCAAGGTCTGTATAAGATGCTCCTTGCAACAGTGTAGTTTGTGATAAGAGTCTTAGGTGGGGCTTAAATCATAGTTCTTTGTTTTCTGTGTGAAGGGGAAAAAAGAACTTAAGAGTCACTGAATAAAAAAAGAATCTCTGCCTTTAAGGGTCATCCAAGACAAGAGTGTCAGGTGTAAATACAGTAACAGGATTTCAGATGGTTGTAGGTGTCAGTTCAAGGGTACTCCCAAATAGCACAGCTTAGGGAGAACGTCCTCTATAACACACAATGACTTGAAAAGAAAAATTAGAAAGATTGAAATACAAACTTGTAGCCAGTCACTTGGTCCTGTTAAATCCGGGGTCTCCAACCTTGGCAACTTTAAGACTTGTGGACTTCAACTCCCAGAATTCTGGAAGTTGAAGTCCACAAGTCTTAAAGTTACCAGGGTTGAGGACCCCTGTGTTAAATGGTAGCTTGAGATCAAAGTCATCTGTCACAGGTTGAACAGCCCAAGCAATGTCAAGTGGATCTGCAGTCTTCAGTCTGGAACTTTCTACACTGGAGCATATAACTTGAAGAAGGTCCATGCTTTCACATACACCCAAGCTGGTCCAGTCCAACAACTGCTGCTTCTTGCAAATATTTAACAAGAGAGAGAAAAAAATCACAGCAGACAATTGTTCCAACAAGTGCACTGTTGAAGGAGAAGTCTTCATCATGGTTCAGTCCAAGCCGGGAATAAACAACATGGCGACTGCTTTAGAAAGAAGGTTGCAGTTTATTGGAGAGGAGAGCCAGACAGAAAGATGGCTCTGGAAGAAAAAAGAGAGAGAGCACATGTAGGGAGTGGGTTTTTATACCCTCTGGGGCTCTTGAGGTCGTTTCCTGTTCCTGTTTGAGGCTTTGTATTTCCTGTGTCATGTATTCTGACCTGTGTCCATCTTTGGCATCTGTGGGTTAATCCTATTATGTCCTATCTTAGAGTTTGGGTGGGGTATGTAGATTTTAAGTGTCTTTTGTCTTCTTGATCTTCTAGTTGGGGGTCTCCAACCTTCTGGATTATTTACATCTGCATTTCTACAGAGCTGGTTTCTGCTTGGGGGAGGGAGACTGGGGGCTATTAAGAAAACTGGGCATGCTTTTCTGCCCCTTTAAGATCCTTTGAGGAAATATATTTTTCTGCCCTTTTACTATTTCCTTCTCTGGGGGCCTGACTTCCCACAGCACCTCCTAACACAATTTGCAATTTGAGATCGATCAGAAACTAAGACCAAAAATAAAAATGGAAAAAGAAAAGAAAAAAAATCCATTATGGCTGGATACAATGTCATTTTTTAAAAAACAACAAAAAAAAACAGATCTAACTTTGTCCACTTCATATAAAGAAATATATTGGCAGATGAATTTGGAGCGCTAAACCCGGCTGCAAAAGAATTATCATTATCTAATATTTAAAGACTTGAGAGATTGTTTTGTCTAGTAAGGAAACAACTGTCTTTATCACAAGGTTACAGCTCTTCTGCGTGGTTTGTACAAGGCCAGTGAGCATTCCCTAAGACTCTTCTGGCTAGCCAGCATCGCTTGCTTACTCCCCAGATCCATTTTCAGTCCATTCCTGAGCTTCTGTGAAAAATGGCTTTGAATATCAGCGGCTTAGTAGCTCTGCTTTTATTCTATGCCCTGACTTTAGCTATTGGAATATGGGCTTCTCGGAAAACCAGACAGAAGGAACACCAGAAGCCCAGTGAAGTTGCCATAGTGGGAGGAAGGAACATGAATTTTTGCATTGGATTGTTCACAGCAACTGGTAAGTACAAAGGCTTCAGAATGATAAATAGATCCTTTATTCTAATCCTTACTCTGGACTGGGGTGATGTGATAGCAGTGTTCCTACATCTAAGGGGCTGACACAAAGAAGAGGGGGTCAACCTATTTTCCCAAAGCACCTGAAGGCAGGACAAGAAGCAATGGGTGGTAACTAATCAGGGAGAAAGCTTGAGAAATAAGGAGAAATTTCCTGACAGTGAGAAAAATTAACTAGAGAAACAGCTTGCCTTCAGAAGCTGTGGGTGCTCCAACACTGGAGATCGGAGGAGGAAAAATGTCCTGACAGTGAGAACAATCTATCAATGGTACAGCTTGCCTCCAGAGGTTGTGGGTGCTCCAACACTGGAGGTTTTTAAGAAGAGATTGAACAACCATTTGTCTGGAATGGTACAGGGTCCCCTGCTTGAGCAGGAGGCTGGACTAGAAGACCTCCAAAGTCCCTTCCAACTCTGTTAGTCTGTTATTCTCTTAAAGTGAATGCAGGGGTGGTGTGCCAACAGAAAATGAGCTAAAACAGGTTTAGTCAAAAGTCTGGGGATTGGGACCAACGTGCTTTCAATCATGAATGATCTGATCCTCCCCAGCTGACTAAAAACAATCTAAGGAGGCTTCAGTATTCTTAATCACCATGGATTTTGGGGGGGGGGGAAACTCTGGAAATTGAAGGGTGTGTGGTGCTTTCTTGATCTCTTTGGGAAAGAATGACTGACTGGCAGGCAGGAACAATGCAAAAAAAGTATTCTTGGGAAGGTGGCAGGGGACACCATTACAATTTTTAGTTGTAAATGACACTTTTCCTTGGCAATGGTTGATCAGTCATTAAACATTGCAAACTTGGTCAGTAGACCAAAGTAAAAAGGAGCACATCCCTGCCTACAGTCTTTTAGAAGAAAAATGGCAAGTGGAGATCGATCTAGGCTAGGAAACAGTGAGCAAAGAAAGTAAAGTTATATTAGATAGAAGTTAATGAGTAAACAGGGAAAGATGGAAAATATACCAACAGCATTACAGTAAGCATCCTTTCCTGGTTGTAATTGTTCATGCAATTATTTTTATTTTATTTATTTATTTACATATCAAACTTCTTAACCACTCTCTCTCTCAGAGGGGATCTGGGCAAATTAATGTCCCATAAGATTTGATAAGAAGATATAATAAATGTTATCCATTTCTAAGACCCAAGTTAAAAAGTTGGCATTGCCCTTTAAAGTTTTTTTAGGGAGTGTCTCGCCTCATTCCATGGGTCATTTGTGGCCCACATTCCCAGCTTCGCATCTCGCACACTCAATAGCCATAGTGCTGCTACTTAAATTTGGCACCAAACCACCACATCTTGACTATTTGAGAGTGAGACAGATGGTACCTAAATTGATAGGTAAATTTAAGTGAAATGCAATCTACAATCAGTAAATTCAGCAGGAATTAAAGAGAAAAGTTTTCCTTCAATGACTCCTACACTATAAAATCAGGCACATATACTTGCCGTAGCACAGATAATGCCACGTATGTTGACTTGAAAAGGCTTTTTACAACTCCCTTATGTTAACAAAAAATATTTTATAGCATCTACTGCTGAGGGTATACTTGATATTTTATTTAATTTCAGCTGGCTTGTTTTAAAAATGTGCAATAAACCACTTTGGAAAGGCCATAGCTTTGAAAGGCAGCAAAGCATATTAAGTAAATAATAGGTGATTTAATGCATTGAAGTTTACTGCCTCATAAGTGTGTTTACAGAAATACAGAATAACAGAGGTGGGAGGGATCTTGGAGGTCTTCTAGTCCAACCTCCTGCTCAAGCAGGAAACTCTACACAAGGGGAAGGCAACCTTGGCTCTTTTTATGACTCGTGGACTTCAACTCCCAGAATTCCTGAGCCAGCATGGCTCAGCATGGAAACCTCTCCATTTCTCCTCAGCATGGCTGGCTCAGGAATTCTGGGAATTGAAGTCCACGAGTCATAAAAGAGCCAAGGTTGCCTATCCTTGCCCTACACCATTCCAGACAAGTACAGTAGCTGTCCAGTCTTTTCTTAAAAGCCTCCAGTGATGGAGCCTAGCAGTGTATCCTAAGAATGCATGAAGCACATTTTTCTTTCTTGCTGCATGAAACATTACAGAACAGGTATTATCAAATACAGTGTTGTTCAGATCTTAATCATAACAGATCGTAATAAATGATTATTTCAGAGTTATTTTCTAATCTAATTCAGTTTCTCTGGTTAGTGATCAAATAATAGCATTTCCCCAGTGTCCATAATGTTCATTCAGTTGTCTAAAATGAACAGAGCAGAAAACGACCGATGATAGGAAGATTTTGATTTCAAAAAGAAGAACAGTTGTGGATGACAGAAGTTGCATCATTCAAACGCAGAGCCATCCAATACAAGCCAAAGAATTCTCAGCAGCAGCTGTGTCCAGTAAAAATGTCCACGATTCTTAGTGGGAAGTCCAATTGACTAAAACAATATATGTTTTGCCTTGTACAGGTAGTCCTCGACTTACAACAGTTCATTTAGTGACCATTGGGAGTTACAACAGCACTGAAAAATGCAACATATGACTGTTTTTCACACCTACGACCGTTGCAGCATCCCCGGGGTCATGTAATCAAAATTCAGACGCATGGCAACTGACTCATACTTATGTCGGTTGCAGCGTCCGTGGATCATGTGATCGCCTTTTGCTACCTCCTTACAAGCAAAGTCAGTGGGGAAGCCAGATTCACTTAACAATCGAATTACTGACTTAATAACCGCAGTGATTCACTTAGCAACTGTGGCAAGAAAGGTTGTAAAATGGAGCAAAATTCACTTAGCAACCGTCTCGCTTAGCAACAAAACTTTGGGACTCAATGGTGGTTGCACCGTAAGTCAAGGACTTCCTGTAATTGTCCATGTATCTTTTATTAACTTCATTTTCCCTTTTCTGGATTTCTTTCAGCAACCTGGGTTGGAGGAGCCTATATCAATGGCACGGCTGAAATTGTCTACCTCCCTTCAAAAGGACTGGTGTGGGTTCAAGCTCCAGCCGGCTTTGCTTTGTCTCTCCTTGTTGGTAAAGATTTTAAAAGATTCTTAAACTAACTCGGGGTGCGGGTTGAGACAATGAACAGACACCAAGTTAAAATACTTAAATCTCTCTCCATGTTTAATTTTACCTCAAGTTACCTGCCCCAGTTTGTGCATTTGTCAATGATCAGAGGCAAAATTTCATTTGGTTGGAAAGTACATGAGTGGTTTGCAACCTTAGGTCAGAATGATAGAATACAGCTAGTCCTTGACTTAGCACTACAACTGAGCCCAGAATTTACGTTGCTAAGTGAGAAACTTGTTAAATGAGTTTTGCCCCCATTTTATCACTTTTCTTGCCACAGATATTAAATCAATGATTATTTGAGATTTATTTTCTATCCTAATTCAGCGTCTCTTGTTGGTGACTCTGCAGTCATTCACTTTCTTGAATGAATCGCTGCAGTTCTTAAATTAGTAAACCCGGTTGTTAAGTGAATCTGGCTTCCCCATTGACATTGCATGTCAGAAGGTCGCAAAAAGGGATCACATGACCCACCCAGGACACGGCAACCATCATAAATATGAACCAGTTGTCAAGCATCCGAATGTCACTCACGCGACCAGGGGGATGCTGCAAAAATTGTAAGTGTGGGAAAAATGGTCATACAGTAAGTCACTTTTTGCAGCATTGTTGTAAATTCGAACCCTCACTAAATGAACTGTTGTAAGTCAGAGACTACCTGTATCTTCTTTGTTATCAATAGAGGAGAATATTTGTATCTCAGAATTGAAATGAGGGGTCTTTGGTGCTCTCTGAGCTTGGTTGTTTTCTTGCGGACATTTAATTACCCAACTAGGTAACATCATCAGTGCTAGTGGCAAGTGGGGTTTGCTGTCCATTGATATTCTAGTGGCCTACTCTGCCAATGTTGGTGGGAGTAATCTTGGGGATTCTTTAATTGGGCTTTTTACTGTTAGCTGGTTTGGTAGTTCCTTGATTGATTGATTGATTGATTGATTGATTGATTGATTGATTGATTGATTGATTGATTGATTGTCTCCTGGGACAAGACTCATCCTGGAAGTCTTCTTGTTCACGAGCCTCTGTAGAGTCCGTGTCAACAACCCCATTCCTGAAAAGAGTTTTATAATGCGCATTGCTGAAATAGTCTTATACTTTGAGATTTCTTCCGGTGGTCTCATCATACACTGTGGAAAAAGACATGATTCGTTATTTTCACATCAGAATCGAGATAAGCCGTTTCTGATCTCCTTTCCTCTCCAGTATCTCACTACACTCTTTCCTGTCGGTCACTGCATACTTGTTAGATGCGTAGAAATGAAACTCACTTAATATAGCTCAAGTCGAGCAATAACTCTTATATTCTAGCTTATTTAGGATTTTCAATGTCTCTCTGTGTCCTGGAGCTTTTCTGCACTGTTTATGTGCTCTTGTTTTTGTTTTTACTCTTCAACTGAGGGTGGGCAATTAATTTTCTCAAGAGGCCACATGAGAAACTGGGCCTGTTGTGGAGAGCCGCTGCAGCCCTGCTCCCTCACACTGCTGCCCCACCCCCTGATACTGCTGCTCCGCCCCCTGCTTCTGCTCCTGCCCCCGATGCCACTGCATGGCTGCCCTGCCCTCCACCATCTACCTGGCCAGTGGCAGGATTTCCTAATGTCTGCCACCTCAGCTATCTGTGGATGGTACATCTCATGCAGGGTCCTGCCTTGCCATGGCTCTTCTCCTGCTTGATCTTCCTCCCATGTCTGCTGCTGTCTCGGGCATATTCTCAACAGCTCTTTGGGAGCCATCTTACTGATATACTGTACTCCTGGGTTTTGTCCAGGACAGTGGCTATATAAATATCAACATTTCCAATCACAACACCGAAAGCAAAAGTCAAAAACGATAACAATAAATAACAAATAACCATAAAACCATAATACAATAGCCAAGCCACCAGAACAGACTCACGCCACACCTATGCAGGTAGTCCTCGACTTACAACAGTTTGTTTAGTGACTGTTTGAAGTTACAACAGCACTGAAAAAAGTGACTTATGACAGTTTTTCACATCTATGACCGTTGCAGCATCCCCATGGTCACGTGATTTATATTGAGATGCTTGACAACTGGTTCATATTTATGACAGTTGCAGACTTCCGGGTACGTGTGACCATGTTTCGCGACCTTCTGACAAACAAAGTCAATGGGGAAGCCGGATTCACTTAACAACCGTGTTACTAATTTAACAACGGCAGCGATTCACTTAACAAATGTGGCAAGAAAAGTCATAAAACGGGACAAAGCTCACTCAGCAAGTTTTTCACTTAGCAACATAAATTCTGGGCCCAATTGTGGTTATAAGTCGAGGACTACCTGTATTGGGCTCAAATAGCATCCTGGTCCACTGCTTCTTGGGCTTCACAATCTTCTAGGAGACCAGGAAGGTTGGGGTCTTCTACCATAGATCTCAACAGTGCATAGGGCAGGTTTTGGAACAGAGGAGGCATGGCTTCTAGGCCCCATCCACCAAATAACATTTTCTAAAACAGGGAATTTATGGTGCACCCATCCTGTCAAATCTGATGAGATGAATAGAAATACTTGGGGAGAGATGGTCTTGCCCCATGCAGGATAATAATCAGCATCTTGAACTGCAAAAGAGGGTTGCAGCGGCCTAGCAGTTAAAATACTCGGCTGTTGGCAGTTTGAGACCCAAACACTCGCAATGGGGTGAGCTCCCGTCCTTGCCTCAGCTCCTGCCAATCTATCTGACATGGTTCCGAAAAGAAGCAGCTTTTCAAAGAACTTTGAGGCTTATTTACCTTAAAGAATCCTTTATTTGCTACATAGCTTTGGCACGTACAATAATGAAGCCAAAAACTGAAACCTCCCACCCCCAATCACCCGTAACAAAGCATAACTCACTCCTTCATTTTACAGTCATCAATCACATTCTCCAATTAGTGTGAAGTGTGAATTGTCCCCCCCCTACTTCTCCTGTTACAGCTGACCTTGGCAGTGCTGTGCTGAAATATTGTTATGGTTAACTAGCATATTTTCCCATCTACTAGGCTAGTATTGTCTGCTTTAACTCTAGAAGTGATATGCAGGCTAAATAAAACATGTTTGCTTCTTCACATATGGCAAGCAAGAACATCCGATGTTAGCAGTCTTGACACTATCAGTTTGAAAGCATGGAAATGCAAGTAGATTCATAGGTACCACTTTGGTGGGAAGGCAACAGCGTTCCGTGCACCTCAGCATATAGTCATGCTGGTCACATGACCACGGAAATCCTGGGACAATGCTGGCTCTCTCGGCTAGGAAATGGAGATGAGCACTAGAGTCGGACACAACTGGACAGGGGAAACATTTACCTTTACCTGAACTGTGAAGCACTATGATGCCTTTCCATTTGTAAAGATAACTGATTGTAATGCAACTTTTTTTAAAAAACAACAACAACAGGTGGCTTCTTTTTTGTCAATCCAATGAGAAAGAGAAATTACATGACTCTGATGGATCCAATTCAAGAGATGTATGGGAACGTGATGGGCTGTCTTCTTTTTATTCCTCCATTGATCGCGGACATGTTCTGGTTTGCTGCTGTTCTTGCCTCTTTAGGTAATATGGTGTCTTTCACTTGTCTTGGCAGAAACTAAATTTAGCCCCCTGGAAATCAAAGGAATACAGCTGAGATTAGCTTTCCATCCTATAAGTGATTTATTGATTACTGAAGGCATGTTCAGAAGAACTACCTGTGAGGATATTTGTAGCTCCAATCTCCATCTGCGTCACATTTCTGAAGTCTAGTATATAAACAGGAAATAAGGAGATGAGAAAACAGAAGGATTGTCTCTAAATAATTTAGAAACACCACAGAAATCTGTAATTCAGATCTAGAGATGAGGTGAGAACACTTTTGCACATACATAAACTGGAGTGTTAGATGCTTTAAAAGTACTTTATTACCAATACTAATATTTTAGAAGGATATTCAGTTATGCTGTAATTCCTCCCTGCAGTCTGGAGTGCTTCAGTATAAGAATAGTTGTGAACAGCATACTAGCTGTTTTGTATAAAGTAAGAATACAGGTAGACTTACAACAGTTCATTTAGTGACCATTCAAAGTTACAAGGGCACTGAAAAATGTGACTTATGACCATTTTTTACATTTAGTATCTTTACAGCATCACCATGACCATGTGATCAAAATTCAGATGCTTGGCAACTGGTTCATATTTATGACTGTTGCTGTGTCCCAAGATCATATGATCACTTTTTGTGAACTTCTGACAAGCAAAGTCTTTCTTTTACCCAAATATATTAATTTACAGGTAGTCCTTGACTTACAATCACAACTGAACCCCAAATTTTTGTTGGTAAGTGAGACAATTATTTTGTGAATTTTCCCCCATTTTACAAACTTTTGCCACTATTGTTAAGTAAATCACTGCAATTAAGCTAGTAGCAGGGTTTCTGATTTACCAACCGCAGAGACTGACTTAACCACTGAGGCAAGAAAGGTCGTAAAATGGGGCAAAACTCACTTAACAAATGTCTCACTTAACAACAGAAAGTTTGGGCTCCATTGTGGTTGTAAGTCGAGAACTGTCTGTATACAGAAAATAATAATAATAATAATAATAATAATAATAATAATAATAATAACAACAACAACAACAACAACAACAACAACAACAATAAAGTTGGAAGGGACCTTGGAGGTCATCTAGTCCAACCCCCTGCTCTGGCAGGAAACCCTATACCATTTCAGACAAATGGCTGTCTAGTCTCTTCTTAAAAACTTCCAGTGTTGGAGCATTCACAACTTCTGGAGGCAGGTTGTTCCACTGGTTAATTGTTCTCACTATCAGGAAGTTTCTCCTTAGTTCTAGGTTGCTTCTAATATTTCATCTAAGTTCATTCAGTATGACAACCATTTTAGGAACGGAGATCATAGAATATGATGGCCATTTAACCTATGAAAATAGAATTGATGTGTGACTCTTTGACTTAATAATAATAATAATGATAAAGTTGTAAGGGACCTTGCAGGTCATATAGTCCAACCCCCTGCTCAGGCAGGAAACCCTATACCATTTCGAACAAATGGCTGTCCAGTCTCTTCTTAAAAACTTCCAGTGTTGGCGCATCCACCGCTTCTGGAGGCAGGTTGTTCCACTGGTTAATTGTTCTGTCAGGAAGTTTCTCCTTAGTTCTAGGTTGCTTCTCTCTTTGGTTAGTTTCCACCCGTTGTTCTTGTCCTGCCTTCAGGCGCTTTGGAGAATAGCCTGACTCCCTGGTCCCCTCCTAGTGGGTCAGCTTCACCTCCCAGAATTTCAGTGGAATGCCCCAAAAGTGAGAATCCTAGGAGCAGAATTTTTATAACAATGACTACGCTTTTGTTACAAATGGAACAATTATTTTGTAAATCATATACAGGGAGTTCTCAACTTACAACCATTCATTTGGTGATCGTTCGAAGTTACAACGGCATCGAAAAAAAGTGACTTATGAACATTTTTCACATTTATGACCGTTGCAGCATCCCCAAGGTCACCTGATCAAAATTTGGATGCTTGGCAACTGGCATGTACTTAGGACGGTTGCATTGTCCCAGGGTCATGTGATCCCCTTTTGCGACCTTCTGACAAAGTCAATAGAGAAGCCAGATGCAATTAACAACCCTATTACTCGCTTAATTGCAGTGTTTTGCTTAACAATTGTGGCAAAAGTTTGTAAAATGGGGAAAATTCACTGAGTCTCACTTAGCAACAGAAATTTTGGGTTCCGTTGTGGTTGTAAAGCGGGGACTACCTGTAAATTAATATAGTTGGGTAAAAGAAATGGCATAGCACAAAATGTATTACTGTATTTGAATAGTAATTACTGCATCTTTTCCTAGGAGCAACCATGAAAGTCATTTTGGACATCCAGAGTTATGTTGCCATCATTCTTTCTGCATGTACGGTGATATTGTATACTTTGCTAGGAGGTCTGTATTCAGTGGCATACACAGATGTGATACAACTGATCTTTCTATTGCTCAGTCTGGTAAGTTACTATCTTGTTATATTACCATTCTCTTGAACTATTGGGAGTGTTTGAAAATCCAGAATGAGACACCAGCAAACTTTCATTGTTTATGACAGGATTTCTCAACCCTGGCAACTTTAAAATACAGTATATGGACTTCAATTCCCAGAATTCCCCAGCTAGCATGCTGGCTGGGGGATTCTGGGAGTTGAAGTCCATTTAGCTTAAAGTTGCCAAGGCTGAGAAGCACTGATCTTTGAGATGCCAATAGATGACATGGGAGATGACTTGGGAGATAATCTGAACCAATAAAGGAGAATATTTGTAGTTCAAGGTTGAAATGAGGCATCCTTAGTGCTCTCTGAGCTTTTTTTTTTCCTTGCAGACGTTTCATTTCCCAAATTAACCCCACAGAAGAGACGAGAGCGCTCATGGAAAAGAGACACTACATGAATAAAACAGTGAAGTAGCCATGATTACACTTAGAGTAGAGACAGGATCTGATTTAAGTGGGAGGGCCAAGTACAAAGAAGTGGGTGGAGTCATAACACAGAAGTGGGTAGCATTAAGACATGAAAGCAGCAGGTGATGCTACTGCAATTCATTTACATTTTTAAAATTAATTCAGTATCATGACTGTGGACGCACAGAATATTTTGACTATCAGAAACCCTTCCGAAAATGTTTTAATGCTAATGTTTTTGGTTTTGCTTCCAGTGGATTTGTATCCCTTTTGCCATCATGAATCCTGCTACAGAAAATATTTTTTATACAGCTTCCCAAAATATATCCCAAGCACCTTGGATTGGAAAAATAGAAACAGAGTTTTACGGAAGATGGTTTGATGATTTTTTATATTTGGTAAGATCTGTTCCTGAAGTGGATGGGAAATTGGGGGCTTGAAACACTTACTGTATCCAACTAAATAATGAAAACACTTGTTCTTCTAAATTAAGAGCAAACCACGTTTTTTTCACCACAAAGAACACTATTTTTTTTTAAAAAAAAAGATATGTGGGGTATGTTGTTGACACGGTAAATTCACTCCACAAGAAGGGATTAAAAATAAATAGCAGTGTAATATATACACAAAATGTCCTAAAATTCAGGGGTTGGCAACCTTGGCTCTTTTATGACTTGTAGACTTCAACTCCCAGAATTCCTGAGCCAGCATGGCTCAGCTTGGAAACCTCTCCCTTTCCCCTCAGCATGGCTGGCTCAGGAATTCTGGGAGTTGAAGTCCACGAGTCATAAAAGAGCCAAGGTTGCCTACCCCGTCCTAGATAGTTCCAAACTGGAAAGGGAGATGCACATGCCGCCCTTTCTCTTCTAGATGGCTGGAAAATTGCTTTTCTACAAGACATTAAGAAAAATACATTTCTAAATTAAAGATGAAATGCAATTAATAGTGTCAGGGCCAGGACTTTTTTTCTCATAGAATGCCCAGAATGGAGTTCCAGCACCTTTTTTGGATGGAACCTTGTAGGGTAAGCAAGGCAGGTTGTATGACGTGTGTGAGTTCCGGCACCTTTTTTTTTTTTTTTTTTAGAAAAAAAGCACTGGTCAGGGCTGACAGGTTGGAATGTTTTTAGGAAAGGCAAACGAAGACTAGAAATTCTAGCATGATCCAGAAAGCAAGCTATGGAGATGCTACAAGAATTGCCCATCATGCTTCATGTTAGATAAACTTCCCAGAGTCATCCTTATTGTTACATTAAAAGCAATCTGGTTTAAGTTCTGACTTTTCGGCTAAGATCAAGAATACTGTCCTATCTGTTTTTATTCCAGTCCCGTTCTATTTTTCTTCCAGGTGCTTGGGGCCATCCCTTGGCAAACCTATTTCCAGCGTGTTCTCGCGGCTTCTTCCCACAAAGAAGCCAGACTAATTTCCTATTTTTCTGGACTGGGCTGTTTCGTTATGGCTATCCCTTCTGTATTGATAGGAGCAGTTGCTGCCTCCACAGGTAACCATGGCTGAATAAAAACTGGAAAGCTAGAACTTTCAGCCCTAGTACAGGTAGTCCTTGACTTACGACCACAATTGAGCCCAAAATGTATGCTGCTAAGTGAAAAAAATTTTAAGTGAGCATTGCCCCAGTTTACAACTTTTCTTACCACATTTGTTAACGGAATCCCTGCAGTAGTTAAATTAGTAACATGGTTGTTAAGTGAATCTAGTTTCCCCATTAACTTTGCTTGTCAGAAGGTCGCAAAAGGGGATCACATGACTCTGGGACACTGTCATAAATCTGAGTCAGTTGTCAAGCATCCAAATATAAATCACATTACCCTGGGGATGCTGCAATGGCCATAAGTGTGAAAAATGGTCATAAGTCCCTTTTTTTAGTGCCTTGTAATTTTGAATAGTCACTAAATGAACTTTTGTAAGTCGAGGACTACCTGTAAGGCTGTTGCCCGACTTTAGGAGGGTCGTTCCTCTATGTCAGTGTTTCTCGACCACAGCAATTTTAAGATGTGTGGACTTCAACTCCCAGAATTCCCCAGAATTCTCCCCAGATTCTGGGAGTTGAAGTCTTTACATCTTAAAGTTGCTGAGATTGAGAAACACTGTTCTGAATAAATGTTGAATAAACTCTTGTATCCTAAGCAGTTCAAGGAGCCCTGGTGTAAAAAGAATTATTAACACAAAGCAGTATCACATATAAAGGAATATAGAGCTGACCTTGAGGAAGCTAAAAAATATTTTTCTTAGTTTGCATTGTTTTTTTTAATCTTTGTATTTTTAAATCTCAATTTAAAAAACAGGACCAATAACGCAGAATATCTGAGAAAAGTGGCCTACCCATTTCTCCTCTGGTCAACTCACAACATTTTTTATTTTTTTTAAATTAATCCTGCTTTGCCATTTTTTTCACTAATGAAAAAGTGGGTAAGAAATTACCTCACATGCACAACTCCAACATTTCCACAAGACTTCCACCTTCTTTGATGAAGCTTTGTGTGATACGGTGCACAACTAGTAATATCTCAGGCGAAAATGCTGGTGTGTCATCCAATTTTAGCATTCTTGACAGAATCTACATGCTCAGATGTACAATCTCATGTTATCTGGTGATCCTGTGAAATGTCTATCATTTTGCAAAAAAATAATTTTGGGAAGATGCTTAAGCCACCATACGTATCATCTTGGATAGCTGCCTAGAAATCTGGTCAATGTGTATGTAATATCTCACAAAATGTACTCAAAATAGCATAGAAGAAAAACAATATTAAAACTACTATAATTCAATCAATAAAAGAAGACAATAAATAGAATAAGTTACGTGAAAAAGGGACTTCAAAGGTCACCTAGCCCAATTCCATCCATGCAGCAGCTAGATTTTGGTTCACATTTTAAGGATCAAATATGAATAATCATATATTTAAAGAACTAACCTTGACCCTAACACAACATTTCTCTTGTCAGATTAAATTTAATCCTCAAAAGTAGATTTTTCACCTTGTCTTATAAGAAATCTATCAATATCTCTAAGTCAAAAGAAATTTATTCATGCTATTGTCTCTGGGCAAAGCAGTCAATTTTGCTTTTAATTTCAAAGACCATACTTCCATTGTAAATATATATGAGAGATAATCCTTGACTTACAACAGTTCGTTTAGTGCAGGGGTAGGCAACCTTGGCTCTTTTATGACTCGTGGACTTCAACTCCCAGAATTCCTGAGCCAGCCATGCTGAGGGGAAAGGGAGAGGTTTCCAAGCTGAGCCATGCTGGCTCAGGAATTCTGGGAGTTGAAGTCCACAAGTCATAAAAGAGCCAAGGTTGCCTACCCCTAGTTTAGTGACTGTTCAAAGTTACAGCTGCGCTGAAAAAGTGACTTCTGTCTGTTTGCAGCCGATGTCATGACTGATTCAATTCTGAACCAATGTTTTGAAAATGACACCTCTATATTTCCTTTTTGAGATTGGAACCAGACCGACTATGGTCTACCCACCCCAAATGAAAGAAATGAGTCTGCCCTCATACTTCCACTAGTCCTTCAGCATCTCTGCCCGACTTACATCTCCATCGGTGGCTTGGGTGCCATAGCAGCTGCTGTGATGTCCTCAGGAGATTCTGCATTGCTCTCTGCCGGTTCCATGTTTGCTCACAACATCTATAGGAAAATATTCTGGAGAAAGGTAAGTGACTGATTGTTAAATGATACAGGAACATTATTACAGGTAGTTCTCAACTTACAGTCGTTTGTTTAGTGACCATTCAAAGTCACAATGGCACTAGGAAAAGTGAATTTTTCATACATATGGCCATTGCAGCATCTCCATGGTCATGTGACCAAAATTCGGATGCTTGGCAACTGATTCATATTTATGACAGCGGCTGTGGCCCGGGGTCATGTGATCCGCTTTTGCAGTCTTCTAACAAGCAAAGTCAATGGGAAAGCCAGATTAATTTTACAAGTGTGTTACTAATTTAACAGCTGCAATGAATCCCTTAACAACTGTGGCAAGAAAAGTCATAAAATGGGACAAAACTTACTTAACAACTGTCTCACTTAGCAACATAAATTTCGGGTTCAGTTGTGGACGTAAGTCAGGGACAACTTATATAGCAGTGTAAGAGAAATTCCTTTTTTTAAAAAAAAACAAAACCTCCTAATATTTAAAGCTTCCTCAATAGTCGTATACCTTTGAGTGGATAGAATTTAAAATGGGCATAAATGGGAACCCACTACTGGACTTTTTGTTCGAGACAGAAATAAAATGAATTCCTGACTTTGAGTTTTGCTGACTAGACTAGTTTGTTATGGAAATGGCGAGTGATGACTAAGTTTGTAAAAAAGTTGAGGCTGTAATTTTATTTTGTATTTTACTGCGCTGAAAAAAGTTGGAATGCTTTTTTTTCTCCTTTACCCTACACTTCTCTCCCTTTCTTATCCTTTCCCATTTCCTTATCATCTTTACTCTCATTTGCATTTTACACTATTAAAATTTTAATCAAATTGGAAGCATGACAGATATGTTAAAACCCCAAATGTACAAAATGGCGGGCAAGATACCACATTCAAAATCCTGCCGTGTACAAAGGGGGTGAAGCTTCAATCACAATAGCACACCCACTTTCACAGAGACTTTGATCCTCTCCTGTGGGCCCCTATGACTAGTTTTTTTCATTAGACACAGATGCAATTAATCTAGTCATGGAGTTTTAAACTAATTCAAAATAAAGAGGCAAGACAAGACCATATCTCTAGAAGCCTCAATTTTCCTTCCTGCTCCTTTTTCCTGCTTTTCACAATTTCCTAGTGCAACCCTTACTTTTTAGTTGGGGAAAACCAACCCGCAAAGCAGCAATGCCTTTTCTGTATCCTGTTAGCATTTTGCTATCTTCTTTCTGGTTCTTTTCTTTTTATTCTGAATGCAACTTAAGAACTTCTTTAAATTTTCTCTAGCATTCTGACCTTTCTCTTTTCTGACGCTAACTATTCTTTTTTTTTGATCTAGCTCTCTTTATACAGATAGCCCTTGACTTACAACAAATCATTTACTGACCAAAGTTACAAGGGCGCTGAAAAAAAGAGACTTATGACTGTTTTTCACACTTAACAACCTTTGCAGAATCCCCATGGTCACATAAGCAAAATTCGGATACTTGGCAACTGCTCATATTTATGACGGTTGCAGTGTCCCAGGGTCATGTGACCAGCTTTTGCGGCCTTCTTACAAGCAAAGTCAATGGAGAAGCCACTTAACAACTGTGTTAAACAACTTAACAACTGCAGTGATTCACTTAACAACTGTGACAACAAACGTTGTAAAATGGGGCAAAACTCATTTAACAACCGTCTCACTTAGCAACATACATTTGGGGCTCAAATTTGGTCGGAAGTCAAGGCCTATCTGTATACATCAGGTGTGTAATAAATGCATATTTTTATGAATGAAAGAAGAATTTTGAAAAATGTAGACCCATTCTTTTTTATGAGATTGGGGCCAATATGCAACATTCGGCCTGTTAATGAGTTTGCACCCATTTTAATTTGGATACAATTTTTTCTCCCTTTCCCATTCCCTCCCTCTGATTTTTTCCAGGCATCAGAGAAAAATGTCCTATGGGCAATGAGACTCTCCATTGTGGTCTTTGGGATAATTTCAGCAGTTCTGGCTTACTACTCCTATTCGATTTATGACCTCTGGTTCTTGAGTGGAGAGCTAGTATACACTCTCCTCTTTCCCCAGTTGTGTTGTGCTCTGTTTCTTCCCAGCACCAACACCTACGGCTCAGCGGTTGGGTTCTTCCTTGGCTTTCTTCTACGGCTGTTGGCAGGAGAACCATCCCTGAAGATCCCCCCTGTAATCTGTTACCCAGGATGCTCAGTTGTGGAAGGTGTTTATGTCCAGCTCTTTCCATTCAAGATGGCCACCATGCTGTTCACGCTGTTCGCCATCTTCTCAGCTTCCCATCTGGCCAGCTTTATGTTTAAGAGCAAAATCCTTCCTGCTAAATGGGACATCTGCCAAGTTATTATGGATGACGGAGTGCCTGTTCCCTTCTCCTGGGGAGAAAGGCAGATGGATGTACGAAAAAATCCGGACTTGTGAGCAAGCAGAGGAAGCAGTTATGAAGATATTTCTCTTCTGTTACCGCTGATTGTTGGAGCCTCCTTTGAGCAATGAAGAAAAAAAATTGGCAGATAGGCCAGAATTCAAAATCACATCAGTGTCTTTGCATTACAGCAGCTGGGACACTTTTGCAAGTTGGATATCTGCGCTCTTTTTAATGCCAAGATCGTGAATTCAGATGTAGTTAGGGAAGCGCTGCTCGCTGTTTTTACTGAATATTTATTTGATTTAATATTTCAATTCTGAGGCTACCTGACTCCAAAATGATTCTGGCAGTGATTATCTTACAATTAAAAATTTAAAAGAAGTGCATGAGGAAACCACAGATAATGTTACTCTCCTTTGATCCTTGCAGGGAAATTATACAGAAATAGCAACACTGATTACATAGCACATTTAACAACCCATTCTATATTCTCAAGGATACTGTTGTTATAGTCTAGACCAGGGGTGTCAAGTTGCTGGCCCGCGGGCTGGAGGCGTCACGCCAAAACCACGCCCACCACATTGCTGGCAATGGGAAAAAAGTCGTGATACGTCGCGACATGTCACGTGATGTCGCGAGTTTGATACCCGTGGTCTAGATCCTATTTTATACTTCCCAACAATTAGAAACTAAATATTGGGCAGCAAAGATCTTCTTTCTTATCAACCCAGTCACCAAAACCATTCTTACATTATTAATAAATCCATTGAACAAGTGCATCCTGTCATAAAAATGTTGCCATGTATGTGTTTTATACATCTGTTCTGAGCAACGCATCAAAATGACCTGTACATAAAAATTTTAAGTTTCGGCAGCCTACATTTTTTGATTCAACGTGGATATGTATGTTTTAGAATGATCCTCTACAAGAATTTTCTGACAAAGCACAAGATGAAAAAAGTCCTTCTGCCAACAATGTGAAAGGCAGACAGTTGACCGTTAATCTAATAAAATAGTCTGAAAGCCAGGTTTTGTGTTAAAAAGAAGATGGAAACTGCCATCTTTGCGTAAAAGCTTTGCAATTTCTAATGCACCATGTAGCAGATAAGAGCTTTTTGGCTCCTGTTAGTCTGATGCTCTTTTCTAAGTGTATTCTTAATTCTATTATTAATTATTTCAGATCCCAGAAGAAACTTTAAAACCTCTCAGAATACAAAGGTGGCAGGAAAACTGAACTGTTGATATGTAAAGAGAGAACATATAAAAGAGTTAGAAATATAGTTCCTATTTTTAATTCTGTGTAACCAAATTAAAATAATATAATATAACACAGGAAACATGAAAAATATAAAACATATGTATACTGGATTAAAGCATACATTCTTTCACAATTAGTGAAAGACTCTTAATGTCAATATTCCTGTGGCAGGCCAACTTTGAGGCATATCATTTTTATAAAATATCCAGGATGATACTTCTTTCATAGAATTATAAACTTGTATTTGATAACGACACCTTTTTGTAAGTTTTTAAATTTTATTAGGAGCTGCGGTGTGCAATGGTTAGAATGCAGTATTGCAGGCTGACTCTGCCCACAGCCAGGAGTTCGATCCTGACCAGCTCAAGGTTGACTCAGACTTCCATTCTTCCAAGGTTGGTAAAATGAGGGCCCATATTGTTGGGGACAATGTGCTGACACTGTAAATCACCCAGAGTGTGCTGTAAAGCACTATGCGGCGGTACATAAGTCTAAGTGCAACTGCTATTGCTATTCAGAGGCTTCAAGAGTGAGGGCAATCCCTTATTTTTCCCATCCTTATACTTCACTTCTCCCTAATTCTGCCCTTTGTTTTAACATTACCAAACTTAAGACATATTATGCAAGGACCTACCTCTCTAGAGAAAGCTCTAATGCTGAAAAAGGTGGAAGAAAGGAGAAGAGGATAACCAATATGTCCACATCTCCCTCATGCAGATGTGGACTAACACTCTAGCACAAGGGGCTATTCTCTCTTATGGAAAAATGGATGGAAAATCTGGTACGAGAGCTGGCAGATACTCTGCATTCATAACACTTGAGTTACAGCTCTAACTGAGCCTGGCAATGGTAATAGTAGGCTGTGATAGTTATAATACAGGTCACCACATGACCAGATTCGCTTTTACAACCTATTTTGCAGCAATCGTTAAGTGAACATGGCAGTTGTAAAGCACCAAGGTCATTAAGCAAACCCATTGTTTGCTATGGGCTGGGTTTTTTTTTGCCAGAAATCAGAATAATGCCATCACAAATCACGGTCACATGACCTTGAGGTGCTGCAAACAGCCGTAAACGCAGGCCAGTTGTTGAGCACCCCAAATGGGGTCATGTGACCACAGGGGAGGGGGCGATGTTGGAACTTCAAAACTGGGTTGTTAAGTCTCTTTGGGAGGATGTATCATAACTATGAACAATCGCTAAGTTATGCTAACCTAATGTTCTCTAGCTGTTTTTCTGTTCTTGCTGTTGTCCACGCCAGCAAGTAGTTCATGTCAGTCTCTTCAAAGCTCTCCAGCATTTTATTACAGCTTGTTTTGCTGCCAGGAACAAATGTCCTATTAAGATTTTATCGTACAACTGCAGAGATTGCCCGTGAAAGGTTTTTAATAAAGCGAATAAATGCGTTTGTTTGAATTCTGATCCCGTAGCATTCCTATTTCGGCAAATGAGTGAGACGTCAAATCTCACATTTTTTTAAGTGTTGGACTGGGTATAATGGGAGATGAATTCCAATACAACTCATGAGCACTAGCCTGGGGAGGGCTTAACTCAAATTATCCCTTCTGGTTTGTACTAGTAGGAATCTGATGAAGATCTCCAGAACTAATCAGCAAAGGATGACGTGTGGAATCCAACCAGTAACAATGAAATTACGGAGAAGTACCGAGGTGTTTCAGAGAATGCCAACAATGTGGGCATAGGTGTTCAAAACCACTTAAAGGTTGCCTCTTCCACCAATAGGGCATTCAAATATGAAGTTAAAATTCAACTAGATCCATCCTTCCATTTATTTGCTTGTTTTCTTAGACAGATATCCATTTTATGCCCAGAGTTCCAGAATGGCATTGATAGTAACCCCTTCTCAGAGCTGAGACATCTGGGACATAGACTGAGCTGAGATATAAGGCGTAGCTTAAGGTTACTCAAATAGTTGTTAGGACATGGGTAGGAGGTTAGTAAGCCTGCGTTCAAGATCTGAGAGCTACTGTGGGACGGGGTGAGCTCCTGTCCTTCGCTCCAGCTCCTGTGGGGACATGAAAGGAGCCCCCAACTGGGCATTCCCAGAGTAAAGGTGATGTCACTGGCTAATCCTTTCAACCCAGAAGCACCTCGGTGCTTCTAACAAGAGTGCAAAACTCAAAATACTTTCCATGAACTACACAGATTTGAAACTGGGTCTCCAAATTTAGCCTTAGTCAACACTCTAAATCAGTGTTTCTCACGCTTAGCAACTTTAAGAGATCTGGACTTCAACTCCAAGGATTCTCCAGCCAGCATGTTCCTTCCAACTGTTTCAGAAAAAGCCTTTCACTGAAAATCTGGCTGGCTAAAGTATAATTCAGGATGTGGTACACTACCAACCCGTGTGCTTAATTTATGATTTGCAATATTGCGCTATCAAGGCAACTGCATTATTCATAAACTGGCTACATACTTGTCATATATTATACCTGGGGGATGTTCTTCCTGAGTAACTTCTTACCCAGTGCCATTGATAATAATTTGAAAAATAATATATGGCATCCAACTTCAATATGGAACAATCTAAGTAGTTACTATCCTAGCCAATACTTATTTATTATATGAAAAAATATAGAAAAATAAGCTGTGGCCCAATTAGGTTAGAAGAGTGAGAGAAGATTGGGTGAGAGATGATTTAGCAAATCCTCATCAAGTTTTGGTAGAAATAACAATATCAAATCCAGGGGTCCTGAACATCAGAAACCCCACAGTTCATCCCTGATACAAATATCCTCTTCTATTGATACATTAATAAAAATATTTTGTATGGAAAAAAACCCCTTTTTAACAATTACAAATAATAATGAGAAAACAAACATTGTTTCATAATTTTGCAAATGCATCCAATATCTGGAAAATAATTTTGATTTCACAGACTCCTAAGACAGTTTGGGGGTATCCCCAAGGTTCCTCAGATAGGTAAAGTATTTTGAAATCTTCTGGGTTTGCACTCTCTCCTTGACCTTATAGTGCCCACTGAAATGTGAACATGGGCTGGTGGGGTGAGTTAAATATAGCAAAGGAAAAAATAATGTGTTATCCTGATGGTTTGAAAGTATTTGGTCTTTAAAATTAGCAGTAGAATGGTTTGAACCTGCTTGAGATGCCTAGGTGAAGCATGCTACTTTCAAGTTTTTATCCTGTTCCTTTCCTTAAAAATAGGCAGTCCTCGACTTACAACCATTTGTTTAGTAACCGTTCAAAGCTACAACAGCACTGAAATAAGTGACTTATGATCGTTTTTCACACTTAAGTCTGTTGCAGCATTCCTGAGGTCATGTGATCAAAATTCAGATGCCCGGCAACTGGCATGTATTTATGATCATTGCAATGTCCCAGGGTCACGGGATCACTTTTTGCAAACTTCTGACAAGCAAAGTCAACGGGGAAGCCAGATTCACTTAACAACTGTGACACTAGCTTAACAACTGCAGTGGTTCACTTAACAATGGTGGTAAGAAAGGTCATAAGATGGGGCAAAAAGTCGCCTGACAATTGTCTTGCTTAGCAATGGAAATTATGAGCTCTGTTGTGGCCGTTAGTCGAGGACCTCCTGCACAACTCAAGGCAGCATACCTAATGTTTGTACCTCTGTTTTTCTCCACCACAACCCTGTGAAATACCTTGATGAGAGGGAGAGGGAGAAAGAGAGGCAGAGGGAGGGAGAGAAGGGCAGAGAGAGGAGGGGAGGGAAAGACGGACCAACAGACAGACAGACACACAGACACAGACACACACACACCCAAAGTCCCCCAACCAGCTCCCACACTTATGCACGCGGGATTAGAATGTCCCATCTCTCCAGTTAGAACAGTTAATCAGTGGGATGACTTGCCTCCAGAAGTTGTGGATGTGCCAACACTAGAAAATTTTAAGAGATTTGTCTGAAATTTGATATAGGGTTTCCTTCTTGAGCAGGGGGCTGGACTAGAAGACCTCCAAGGACCCTTCCAGCTTTATTCTGATTGAAAATTCTGATTAATAAAGGAGAATATTTGTAGCTCAGGCTTGACATGAGGGGTGTTAGGAATAAAATTTTAGAATAAAAAGTAAAGTTAAGTGACACGTACTCTGTAAAATTTCTACACGTAGACAGTAAGATTTCTACACAAAATTTCTACACGTAGACTGCAAAATTTCTACACAATTTCTACATGTACACGTACCTTGTAAGAGTTCTGCACGTAGGCTATAGGATTTCCACACTGAGCTATAGGATTTCATGATAAAGTACATATAAGGGAATAGGTGAAGCAAAATAGTAAGGGGCAGGGATAATGTATTTTGTTGAGGCGATCCTGATAAGATTGTAACCTCAGAGGAGGGGCCAAGGCGTCGGGGATAGAATGTATATAATGTGTGTCTTTGTTGTGACTAGGTGTGGCTCAAATATTTATTTGGAGTCCACCACGCTTTGCAAACCGTTGTATCCAATAAATCTCTGTCTAATTTCAACTTGCTGTTTGGTGTTATTCAGTGGGCTAGAATTTCTACCAACAGGGGTCCTGGGTGCTCTCCGAGCTCGCTTGTTTTCTTCCAGACGTTCCGTTACCCAAACTAGGTAACACCTTCAGTGCCCTGATGATGTTACCCAGTTTGGGTAATGAAACGTCTGCAAGAAAACAAGCGAGCTCGGAGAGCACCCAGGACCCCTCAAAGTTCTGACTGACCCCAAGGCGCTCTAAGAATCCATCTTCTCTCCAGGCTGCCCAACAACAAACTGGGCGGCTCCTGGCTGGGCAGGGCGAGCGCCGAGCCTGGCTGGTTGTTGGCCCTCGGCCAGCCCGCAGCGCAAAGCGAGAGCCCGGCTGGCAGGGCTGAAGCCGAGGCGGAGGCCGGCCTTCGCCTCCCGGCTCTGCCTCTTCTGAGGAAAGGGAAGAACCGCGGCCAGGAACGCTCGTTGCATGGAGCCTCTCCGGCCCCGCAGACGGGCTTCTTCTGCCATCTCCATGCCGACGCGGGAGCAGACCTTGGGGGAGGGGGAAAACAAAATCCCATCTCCCTCCCGACCCGACCCGACCCGTATTTCTGCCAGGTCCGCCCGGAGGATCGTCTGAATGAACCCTAGCGGCGTCCCCCCGCTTTCTGATGAGGCCTCTCGACCGCCCACGGCGTTGCCGACCGCGGGTCCGACTCGCTTGGGTGACTTTGTGCCTGGCCGCCGAGTGGGCTCTGCAAAGTGAGTGCCTCGCGCGCCTCTCCGGGTTGGGACCGTTTTGAGAGGGGGGGGGAAAAGAAACACCGTTCACAGTCGTAAGTCGAGGACATAGTCTTTCCTCCTCGCCCTGACGCGCTTTTTTCACCTGGACGCTGAACAGGTGTCGTTTCCCTCGCGCAGGGGAGGGGAGGCAGCGAGGGGAAAGTGGCGCCTGTTGCATTTCTGCCTGACGCGTCCTCACAACCCGAGTGGGAGAAAAGCCATTGCCACCAGACTGAGTTGTTTTGTTTGGGTTTTTTTGGGGGGGAACAAGGTGTTAGCGGCCGTTTTGTTTCCCAGGTCCTTCTGCCTCCCTCCCTCCCGGCTGCTCAGTTGTTGGCATTTAAAACAACAAAGATGATCAGGGGACTGGAGGCTAAAACATATAAGGAACGGTTGCTGGAATTGGGTATGTTTAGGGGGACATGATAGCAGTGTTCCAATATCTCAGGGGCTGCCCCCAAAAACAGGGAGTCAAGCTATTCTGCAAAGCACCTGAGGGCAGGACAAGAAGCAACTGATGGAAACTAATGACTGCTGTTTTTGCCTAATGACCCCCTCAAAAAGATTGTAAAATCATATGACTGACCCATTTTATGACTGTCACAATTTGCAACCTTGATGGGCAGGCTCCATTAGAGTCATAAGTCAAGAACTATCTGTAATCACAGATCATCATCTGCTAATTGGACTTTCTTTTTACCCCCTTTCCTAATTTTTTTTTTAATTTTATGTTTGATTTTATTTGGTTTTGTAGTTTTATTGATTTGTGAGGCCGTCCATCACTAATTTTCAACGTGCAAGCAGCTCTTAAAGACTGTGGCAATGAGTGGGTGAGAATGCAAATTTCTTTCAGTTATATTCTTGTTTCACCTTTTTTCCAATTTCTTCTTCCTCCCCCCCCCTTTTTTTTTTGTGATAAGACATCAGGGTTTGTTGGACTGGGCAGTGTGCTACACTGAATAGGACAGGATTAGGGAACCTTGGCTCTTTTATAACTTGTGGACTTCAACTCCCAGAATTCCTGAGTCAGCATGGCTGGTTTGGGAATTCTGGGTATTGAAGTCCACAAGTCATAAAAGAGTCAAGGTTGCCTACCCCTGGAATAGGGCATATGTTTTATGTATGACACTTACTTGAATTTGGCATGGAAAGGAATACAATTCAGGGGTTCGTTTTTCATTTGTTTGCTGGAGTACAATAATTCAGAAAATGCAGTATCCCATCTTGGAAGATTAGATTTCTGGCAGAAAATGGCTATTCGATATGCTGGATTCCCTTCACATGGGATTTGCTTAATGATCATCATAAAAATGGTTGTAAAATTGAGTTAGGTCACATGTTGACCTGCTCAAGGACTGCAATGGCTTGAAACTAAATTTCTGGGCTCAGTTGCAGTTGTAAGTTGAGAACTCCTTGTATCTGTTAATTGTTTTTGGTTGTCCATTCTTAGGGAAGTTGGGGCTAGCCAAAGGAATTAACAGAGATAAGCCAAACACACCTAAATAGCTATTTTTATGACAATAAATTTACTTGATGCCTGGATGGAAAAGAGCAGATATAAATAACATGCTAAAATATAAATCTGTAAATTTCATACAATAGCAATAAATAGCAAAAAGTGAACAATAGCTCAGTGGTCCCCAACCTTTGCAGTTTGGTGGCCCAGCTTGGGGGGGGGAGAGGGGAACTGGGCTGCGTGAGTGGCAGGCGGGTACGCATGCACGCACAGCTTGACATTTGCAAGTTGAGCTGTGTGTGTGCATGTGTGCCAGTCCACTGCTTGCGCAAGTTGAATTGCACATGTATGTGCCAGCCCACCACTCGCGCAGCCCGGTTCCGATTAGGCCACGGCCCAGAGGTTGGGGACCCCTGCAATAGCTGACAAAATGTTTCAAAAAGCAGTACAGGTAATCCTTGTTTAGCAACTGCCTCATTCAGCGATTATTCGCAATTACAACAATTATGAACTTTATGATATAATCCTCGCATTTATGGCTTTTGTGCGTCTGTTAAGCAAAGGAAGCTGAAGCTGGGAGAGTATGTTTCAAGACATGATTAACAATCAGATTAATTTAATGTAATTCTTGATTTTCCTGGTTTTGCGCTTGAATTTTCCTTTGTAAAGCCAAGTTATAAATCTAAATATTTTTTTTATTCTCTCCTTCAAATTTGCCCTTTTCAGTCTTGTACCTTTCCTTTTTCCAAGAAAACATGGTCACTGTACCTCTGCATGAATAAACAATAAGGCAGCATTGAAAATTAATATCCCTTGTGCTAATATAAGAACTGTCTGATGTTCTTGCCTTCTGTTTCCTCATCTCCAGTCCAAATAACTGCTGCTTTTGTATTGTTTTAAGAGCAGAGGCATAACTCGGGACTAATTTTCCCAGTCGCTGACAGGATCAGTAGGCTGGGAAAGTAGGATTTAAGAGAGAGAGAAAATCTCTCCCTTCTCAAAAAGCCATTTCTCCCTCTCTGAGGCCTTGGTCTTAACCCATGCAAAGCAAAAATGTCTTTTTCTGCACACATGCAAAACACGCAGAGCAATTGTTTCACGGAGAAAAGTGTTGCAAAGAAAGGACTGCAGGTCATTAATGACCTCTCTTCCCCTTTCCCAAAGGGCAAATGTCAGACCTGCCAGCACTTAAACCTCTAATTAGAAAAGACCCTTGCCTCCATTTATTGAGACCGGTATAATTTTATTAGAAGTCAAGTGTATTGCACTATAATTTTATTAGAAGTCAAGTGTATTGCACTAACACAGGAATAGGCAACCTTGGCTCTTTTATGACTCGTGGACTTCAACTCCCAGAATTCCTGAGCCAGCCATGCTGAGGGAAAGGGAGAGGTTTCCAAGCTCAGCCATGCTGGCTCAGGAATTCTGGGAGTTGAAGTCCACGAGTCATAAAAGAGCCAAGGTTGCCTACCCCTGCACTAACACATAGCCAGAACTGAGAATTGTGCGCCCAAATCCCTAAGTTCAACTTTTCCCTCCCTTAACTGCCTCCCATCGCTGATCCCCCCCATGACCAATCAGGTTCAGGCAAGATGTTTTTAGCACGGGCACATAGGTTGGTATGCAGCTGCCTTCTTCTCCCAGCCAGGTGACCTTGCAGCAGCATCTTGGGGAGATACAGCACTACTTTCGCTTTCCCCCAAGCATCCCTCCTCCCATCCACCCTCCCCAAAGTTCATGACAGACTGTCACTGCATGATAGCGGAAGCGCACACAAGCAAGTGTAAGGTGGCACCTGACAGCAAGTACCTCTGGGAGCATAGTTTGCAAGATAGGAAGTATACAGGTAGTCCTTACTTATGATTGCTTAATGACTAGTTGAAGTTCTCACAGGCCTACCTAGGGGGCACTTATGACCTGGATTTGAAGTTCCAATGATCGGCCTGCCACCTCACAGTCACATGACTGCACGTCACATAATGGGCAATGTTGGCTGTTTGTAGTGTCCTGTGGTCACATGATCACATTTTGCAACGCTTTTGAGAAAACCCGGCATTGACTTCTGGCTTTCAGCAAAACTGCGCCCGTAACAAACCTTTGGTTCACTTAATGTTTGCAGTGCTTGCTTAAGGACAGCGGATTCACTTAACAACTGTGGTGATGTGCTTAATGACCACTACACAAAGGTCGTAAAATTGGGACTGTCATGTGACTGATCTCCTTTACAACTGCAACAGGTTATGACCATGGTAGGCAGGCTCCATTATGGTCGTTCACTTGAGGATTACCTGTTTCTGGAAATTTGTATTTTATTTTTAATGAAGGAATACAAAAGGAATTCTGTAATGGTCTGTGAGAACTTTGAGAGAGAAGAGCCACAGCCTAGATCAGGGGTCACTACCGGGCAATGGGCTGTTGGCCACTGGACCACATGAGTGGCTGGCCAGCACACGTCACGTCACGCAGGCACTATCGTCGCTGCAAACGCAACATCCCCACTCATGCTAGCATTGTGGCATTGCAGGGGTGCTCGTGTCACCCGAGCATTGCACAAGCACTCGTGACCCTGTTTGTGTTGAATGCGCAATTACAGCCCTATTCGTGCGTGCACAGCCCCATTCGTGCGTACGTGTGCTCGCATGCATAAAGGTACCGCCATCCCTCCCTGCCCCAGGCTGCCAACCTAGAAAGGTTGGGGACCCCTGGCCAAGATAACTATCATACAAAAGGTCTCTCAGCCTTTTGGAAAAGGAGTGTGTTGGAAGGGATCCTCCCTAGTTTTCTAAAGAGTGAAAAGGAAGGAACAAGAAATACTTTTAATCTTGAAATATTCCATTACTATTTTTTTTCTTTTTACGACCCTGTAATCCCTTGTATTGGGGTGGAGTTGGGGCAACTGAATGAAGCTGAGAGTTTATTGGTTGGATGCCCTTCCTGACACCTACATAGAGTTCACAGTAGATATTTTCTCTCTGTGCCCTTAGATGTTTAAATGTTCACCTCACACTTCTGAGTGTGAGGTGAGCATTTAAACATCTAAGCCACCCACTGCTCACAAGATTCTGTTACTATAATCTTACAATAAAGATTAGGTTAGTCCCATGGTTTGTGCTTATTCTCTGGACTACTTTGAAGGTCTGACAAATTCTTGAGCTTTCTCCCTTTTTTTTTATGTCCGATTCTTGAAGATTGCCTGGACAAATCCCTGAAATTTTCTTGGCAAGGTTTTTCAGAAGGGGTGTGTTATTGCCTCCTTCCTAGGGCTGGAAGAGAGTGACTGGCCCAAGGTCACCCCGCTGGTTTTGTGTCCAAGGCAGAACTAGAATTCAGTTTCCAAGTTTCTGGCCACTAAACCAAACTGGCTCTCTCCTTCCTTTAGCAAAGGAAATTATTGTTCTGATTTTCTGATAAACTAATTACAAATGTTTTTGCATTTTTTTGCACTTGGTACTGCGGTATAGTTCTGCAGTTGGAGATTTACAGCCTATTTTTTGCAGAGGACACAGTACTGAACATTGCCTCCACTATTCTTTTGATGTGCAACCTGCAGATTCTCTGGCAGGCAAACAAATCATTAAGGAAAAGCCTCTTTTGTCCCAAGACTTAATCTAACAAATTGCTGTTCTCCAGAAATGCAGTGATTTCTAATTTAAATTCAAAACAGTGAGTCAACAAGATGGAGTGAAAAATCATGTTCTGATATCTGGAGTTATTTGTTCACGAGGCTGAAGATGCACTACTGAAAAAAAAACAACCTTACATAATTGTTTTCCTTTCATAGTTATTCAATCCTGCCCTCATTTACCAGAAGCAACAGAATTTGGTGTCGGAAATCCATCATTTAGTATGCTCGCAAAAATCAATTTACTTCTCTACCCAACTTTTCATATTTAGCCTTTCCTCCAACAAACTGAAAGCAATATTAGTGAACTCATCTGCATAAAATAATCTTCTAATGGATAATTACCACAGGAGACTGGTTCTCCCTCAAACTTTGGGTGTGAAATCTTTCTAGCTTCAGAGTTTTCTTCTTGTTGTCACAGCAAGCCTGAGTCCTTTTACTTGGTGTGCAAGCCCAATGAACCACACCCGATAGGTGGAAAGGAATAAGACTTTTATTTATAAATAAAAGGTTATCCAGACTCAAGTTCCCAAATGAGCATTCCCCTAGGTCAGTGGTTCTCAACCTTTTTAATGCCACGACCCCCAACCGGTCATAAGTCGAGGACTAAACCGGTCGTAAGTCGAGGACTAAACCGGTCATAAGTTGAGGACTAAACCGGTCGTAAGTCGAGGACTACCCAACCGGTCGTAAGTCGAGGACTTTCCCTGCCCGGGAGCGCCGCGCATGCATGGTTCCGCCCCCTGCGCCGGCCGAGGCGCAGCTGGCAAGCGGCAGAGACGGAGCAGGCCGACCACCAGCTGGCCCAGCCCAAGGGAGGTAAGGCACCTGCCGGAAAAGGGGAAAAAAATGGCGGACAGCCTTGCTTGGCGACCCCCGTGAAATGGTCGATCGACCCCAAATGGGGTCGCGACCCATAGGTTGAGAACAGCTGCCCTAGGTTAAGTGGACCCCATTTTATACAATTTTGAAAAGCTTACCCTGAACCAGTGACAGAAACACACATCATTATAAAACCAGTCCTCAAAAACATCATGCATACATTTCAGTAGCCGTAGCATAGGTAGCACCAGATCACAATTCCCGGATTTGACCGAGCCAGTCCACGGTTTCAGCAACAGAGGTCTGGAACGCCATTCTGTTCCAATAACTTTTATACAGTACATTGAGCTCAACTTTGCAACGTGTCCCTGTAATTTTCTTAGCCATAAAACAGGTAACCCTCAATTTACAAGAATTTGGTTAATGGCCATTTGAAGCTACAATGGCACTGAAAGTAATTATTTGCGACCGGTCCTCGCACTTAGGATCACTGCAGCATCTCCACGATCATGTGATCACCATTTAGTGACTTTGCCAGCTGGCTTCGACTAGCACAATCAAAGGGGAAAGCCAGATTCGCTTAACAACTGCATGCTTCACTTAGCAACTGCAGTGATTTGCTTAACAACCAGGGCAGAAAAGATTGTGCACGGCTTACTTAACCACTGCCTTCCTTAGCAATGGAAATTCTGGTCCCAACTGTGGTCATAAAATGAGGATCACCTGTATGGAAGTGCTTTACCATTGACTTCCTCTAGAATGTTTTTTCCAACTGTCTCAGTCAAGGCTGCAGCCTTGAGATTTCCTAGGTTCTCCCACCCAGTTACTAACCAGGGCCAACTCTGCATAGTTGGGCTTTGCTTTGTCCTCTAGGTAGATTCCAAAGAACTGATTAAAGTTGTTGGGGTGGTTTCCTTACTGGCAGTTTACATTGGCACCAGTCTCTCCTTCTTTGATCAAACATTGCAGGCCTTTTCTTTTAAAAAGTTGTACAATGATCTTTCTAGTGCTGGACATAGCTAGGTTTTCCTGCTTTAGCAACGGGTTCCTATTACAGCAAGAATATCAGAATTAGAATAGAGCTGGAAGGGACCTTGGAGGTCTTCTAGTCCAGCCCCCTGCTCAAGCAGGAGTCCCTATATCATTTCAGACAAGTGACTGTCCAGTCTCTTCTTAAAAACCTCGAGTGATGAAGCACCCACAACGTCTGGAGGCAAGCTGTTCCACTGGTTAATTGTCCTCACTGTTAGGAAGTGTCTTATTTCCAGGTTGCTTCTCTCCTTGATTAGTTTCCATCTGTTATTTCTTGTCTTGCCTTCTGATGCTCTGGAAAATAAATTGACCCCCTCCTCCTCATGGCAGCCTCTCAAATGCTGGAATACTGCTATCATATCTCCCCCTAGTCCTAGATACACACATATGTGTCTGTGTGTTTATACAAGGTGTATATGTATATGCTTGTGTGTGTGTGTGTGTATGAGAGAGAGAAGAGAGATAAATAGATATAGTTAGATGACAGATAGATAATAGGTAGATGAAAGGGTATGTGTATATGTACTTTTACTGCTCTTTTTCAAAGAAAATTTGATTGGGAAACCTGTGTTTGTTGGATGTGATATGGGCATGAAAGAAGCTTTTCTTTGCCATGATTGCGGTTGTGTAGCTGAGTGATTATCCCCCAATGTCAATGTTGTCATTTCTATTCACTATTTTTCTTTTGTTGGTTTTCACTCCCATACTTGCCAACCAAAAGTCACAATTGTGAGATTGTGAGCAGCTCTATAAATCAATACATTAAGTAAATAAAAACAATTGGACCTTATCTTTGAAGATGCTTCAGATGCCTGCCCTAGCATATGATGATCCACCCTTTTTACTCAGTGACCCTTTATTCCCCCCCCCTCCCCTGTCAGGATCCATAGGATCAAGTATCATCCTTCAAGCTTATGCACATTAACATACACAAGCACAGCTGCTGACCTCCAATCAGAATAACAGAATGACAGAGTTGGAAGGGACCTTGGAGGTCTTCTCGTCCAACTCCGTTCAAGCAGGGGACCCTATACCAGGGGTAGGCAACCTTGGCTCTTTTATGACTCGTGGACTTCAACTCCCAGAATTCCTGAGCCAGCCACGCTGAGGGGAAAGGGAGAGGTTTCCAAGCTGAGCCATGGTGGCTCAGGAATTCTGGGAGTTGAAGTCCACGAGTCATAAAAGAGCCAAGGTTGCCTACCCCTGGTTAAAGGGATGCGAGATGGGCCCGTCAGTCCAAAAAAGAAATGGGAAAAACCTAATTGGGTCGTTAAACTGGCAGGGACCATTGGTGAAGTTTGCTTTACAGTAATGCCTCTGTTTGATTTTTCAGCTCATGGTGGAGAAATATCCTTACTGGTCTCACAACCAAACATCAATAGTTCGGTGGCTGAGAACGTTTTGCTGTCAGTGGCCTATACTGGTGAGACAAACCCANACTGGCGTTTATGCCAATATATCCAGCGCTTACAAAGACAGAGTGAGCATTTATGAAAATGGCTCTCTGCAGCTGCTGAAGGTGGACTTTAAAGATTCCGGTTATTACTTAGTCACGGTGAGAGACGAGTTGGGAATCATCCTTTATGGCACCATCCTGTTGAATGTTTATGGTATGGAATGAAAGGACCTCATCTTTTCTCTAATGTCTGATGTCCACTTTTAGCAGAGGTGGGCCCATTGCAGATTTATGAGCTTTATTTTTCTAACAGAACTTCAAGGTCCATCTATTGAAAGTAAGTTCCCAACAGGACAGCTAGTAGGCCCAAAAGCTACAGTAGATGGGAAACATTGGCTTGATCTGACAGCCAGTGTTAGTTTATTATTTTTAATGTATATACAGGGATTATAGATCCACTCCAATCAAGGTGTATCTTGAGTGATACACATCTCCCTGAAGCGTCGGTGAACACAAATAGATAATACGGGTAGTCCTCAACTTACAACCGGACGCTTAGTGACTGTTCAAAGTTACAACAGATCCCCCCAGGGATACGTACAATCTGGTTCCGAAGTTCTGACGGCCAGCCATGTGATTGCATGCCAAGCCCTCAGCAGCTGGCCTGCATTTATGGCTGTTTGCAGTATCCTGTGGTCACATGACCATGTTTTACAAGTTTTGCTGAAAATCGGCATTAACTTCTGGTTTTTAGTAATGTCAAATCATAGCAAGTTCGCGTAGTGACCTGTTTGCGTAACATCCACCACAAAAAAGATTGTAAAATTGAGTTGGTTGCGTGAATGACCCAATTTATGACCAGCACAACTTAAGATCGTGACAGGCAGGCTCCAGCATGGTTATAAGCATGGAGTAGAAATGGTTATGTGCACCAGGAATCAGGTATTCCAAATAATAATCATAATAATAGCAACTGCTCATCCAGAAAGGCAGGGATAACAGCTCTGCTGCCAAAGCTTAGTGAGATAATGAAGGGGTGTCCACAGGATGTGGTCAAAAAAGTCAAGATGGCAGTGGTAATGGTGCAATTGAAGCCCCAACTGTTTTTTATTTCAGAACCATGAAATTTCCAGGATAACAAGCCACAACCAATAATGGACATAGCTCTTAGAACAGCGGTTCTCAGCCTATGGGTCGCGACCCCATTTGGGGTCGATCGATCATTTCAGCAAGGCTGTCCGCCATTTTTTCCCCCTTTTCCGGCGGGTGCCTTACCTCCCTTGGGCTGGGCCAGCTGGTGGTCGGCCTGCTCCGTCTCTGCCGCTTGCCAGCTACGCCTCAGCCGGCGCAGGGGGCGGAACCACGCATGCGCGACGCTCCCGGGCAGGGAAAGTCCTCGACTTACGACCGGTTGGGTAGTCCTCGACTTACAACCGGTTGGGGGTCGCGGCATTAAAAAGGTTGAGAACCAATGTCTTAGAAAGATACTTAATAAAGAATTTCAGAGAGTTGAAGACAGAGGTTCAGTTGTGGAGACCTTGATGCTCTCTGAGCATTTTGTGTTGTTTTCTTGCAAGTGTTTCGTTACCCATCTAGGTAACATAAATGCTGGAAGGAGTGCGGTTTACACACTAGTGTTTTGCCCTGTCAGTGTTGGTAGGAAAGTTCTTGGTAGTTCCTTGATTAGGCTGTTGTTTACTGTTTGTTTGTTTGAGTTGGTAGTTCCGTGATTTTTTTTTCCTGTATCATTTACTGCTGGTTTGTCTGATATTAATCCCGATGTTAATCTCTGCTTATTTGGATGTTGATTGCTGGTGAGGTGCTTTGTTTCCTTTTTAGTTTTTCTGATTGTTTCTTTTGAATGGTATGTAGATGTTGTTTATCTCTATCGGCCTGTTAATGGCTGATTTGTCTGAGTGCCAGGCTTCAAGCAGTTCTGTAATGTTTTTGGATTTAGCTTTCTAGGATTCTCTTTCCCAGTTAAAACTGTAGTTAGAATCAAGATCACGTGAAGTGTTAATTCCACTTTACAATGCCTTGGTAAGGCCACACTTGGAATACTGCATCCAGTTTTGGTCACCACGATGTAAAAAAGATGTTGAGACTCTAGAAAGAGTACAGAGAAGAGCAACAAAGATGATCAGGGGACTGGAGGCTAAAAAATATAAAGAGCAGTTGTTGGAATTGGGTATGTCTAGTTTAATGAAGAGAAGGACGAGGGGGGACATGATAGCAGTCTTCCAATATCTCAGGGGCTGCCCCAAAGAAGAGGGAGTCAAGCTGTTTTCCAAAGCGCTTGAAGGCAGGACAAGAAGCAATGGATGGAAACTAACCAAAGAGAGAAGCAACCTAGAACTAAGGAGAAACTTCCTGACAGTGAGAACAATTAACCAGTGGAACAACCTGCCTCCAGAAGCGGTGAATGCTCCAACACTGGAAGTTTTTAAGAAGAGACTGGACAGCCATTTGTCCGAAATGGTGTAGGGTTTCCTGCCTGAGCAGGGAGTTGGACTAGATGACCTCCAAGGTACCTTCCAACTTTATCATTATTATTATTAGGTCTGTCTTTGTGTAGTGCAATTGAGGGATTTTCATCATGTTTTCTGCGCTCTCCTAGTCTTCTGCTTGTCAGTCCTTCATAGTGGCTGTTACAGTCCTCTCACGCTATACAGGTAGTCCTCGACTTACAACAATTCATTTAGTGACCGTTCAAAGTTACAGCAGCACTGGAAACAGTGACTTATGACTGTTTTTCACTTACAACTCTTGCAACATCCCCAAGGTCATGTGATCAAAATTCAGACGCCTGGCAACAATTCTCCATGTTTATGATGCTTGCAAGGTCCCAGAGTCATGTGATCACCTCTTGTGACCTTCTGACAATGGGGAGGCAGAAGCCAGATTCACTTAACAAACGTGTCACTAATTTAACATCCACAGTGATTCACTTAACAACTGTGGCAGGAAAGTCGTAAAACAGGGCAACATTCACTTAATGTTTTACTTAGCGAAAAAAATGTTTGGGCTCTATTATGGTCGTAAGGACTACCTGTATTATAGATGGCTCCCTGTTTTTGCTTCTGGGGTCCTGGGTCTTTTGGTTTACTTAAGAAGCTTTCAAGGGCTTTATTGGCTTGTGAGCTACAAAAGTTGAACTGCACTGTTGGAAACACCATCTTGATTCTTGATTAAATTTTGTGGACACCCCTGTCACTGACTTTCTAAAGATCAGGAAATGTATATGTGTGGGGAGTGGGCCATTTGAATTTTCTGTTCCATCCACGAGCAGGGTTTTGATCATATCATGTCCATTATTCTACATATTTTGACCTGCAGATGACCATAAGCAGGTAGAAAGAAACCAAGATAGTTCCAGGAATTTTATGTCACATACATTATAACCCTGATATTAATCCATGATTGTATCTACAAAACCTACACATCTTGAAGTAAAGCAAACAGCATGGATGCAATACTATGATTTTTTTTTTTAAATATATTTTTTCTTGTCCCTTTAAATTTTAGAGGGAAAAAGTGGTACGTGTATGTTTGTGTCTCTGCAGGGTGTGTGGGGAGGGGGGAGTGGTGAGGAGAAAGCCAGAAAGGCTGATGGAAGTCTGGAATTGCATTTCCCAGCAGCTTAAGTGAAGCTGATGTATTTGTGTGGTCAAACCTCACTGCATTGTGTGTCTCCCTTCCTTAGAAATTCTCTATGAAGACTTGCATTTTGTGGTCGTCTTCTTTGCCTTTCTCATTGCTGCGTCCGCTGTCCTGATCTGCTTGATGTGGTTATGCAATAAATATGTGCACTTTCTGCAAACAGAGAGGCAGCAACTCAGAGGTAATGCTCATTTGACACCATAGACCAGTGGTGGCGAACCTATGGCACGGATGCCAGAGGCGGCACTCAGAGCCCTCTTTGTGGGCACGCGCGCCATTGCCCCAGTCCTAGGCCTTCAGCTGGGTTTTATAAAACCTTTTCGCTTTAGGCCTCCGCCGCTGTGTGCAAAAAAAAAAAAGGTTCAATCAATCAGTCAATTTCAACTTCTCGCGGGGAAAAAAAGGTCTTGCAAAGTTGGAATTGATTGATTGAACTTTTTAGTCCCACCCAGTCTGCCGTTATCACCGCAGCCACGCCCAGCCAATGGGCCATTCCCACCCAATGGGCTACACCCACCCGGCACCCGATGATGCATGAGTGGGTTTTGGGTTGTAGTTTGGGCACTCGGTCTCTAAAAGGTTCGCCATCACTGCCATAGACTTACTTAACAGATTGGGGAAGAAAAATCCCAAGTCTTCTTGCTGGATTTTGTTGTGCTAGTTTCCCTTTCATATTTTTTTTACCTTTGGAGGCTGTCTTTTAAAATGTTTCTGTGTGTGTGTGTGTGTGTGTGTGCATGCACATGCAGCATGCACATCAATATATCAGTGTTCAATCCCAACAAATCCTTGCAGTTTTCTTGGCAAAATTTCAGAAGCAGTTTGCCATTGTCTTCTTCTTAGGACTTAGAGCGGTGTTTCTCAACCTTGACAATTTTAAGGCATGTGGACTTCAACTCCCAGAATTCCACAGCCAGCAATACTGGCTGTGAAATTCTGGGAGTTGAAGTCCACATGCCTTAAAATTGTCAAGATTGAGAAACACTGACTTAGAGAGAGTGCTGGTCAAGTCATTCAGCTGGCTTTATGCCTAAGATAGGATTAGAACTCGTATCATTCCAATATCTAGACCAGGGGTAGGCAACCTTGGCTCTTTTATGACTCGTGGACTTCAACTCCCAGAATTCCTGAGCCAGCTGTGCTGCCTGGGCAATCTGTGGTGGGTCGTGGAGGTGGTGGGTGGCCCTGCGGGCAGGAGAGGGGGCGGGGCAGGGGCGAGGCAGTTTTTGGGCACTCGGTCTCTAAAAGGTTCGCCATCACTGCCCTGAGCCAAAAGTTGAGGCAATCACATTTTAGCCTAAAATTAAAGCACAAAAACAAAGGGTTTTGTATCTCACCTTTCTTTCTGACGGGGTCTGCTCAATGGAGAGGCCAGTTTTCCCATGTGGGAAACCTCTCAGCAGCTTGAAAAAGCCTCCATTTTTCCTCCTCTCTCTTTCATATTTCTTCTCTGTAGCCTTCTCTTAACAATAGAGCAGATTAGAGATTAGCCCTCATGTACTAAATGATGATATTGAGTGGTGTATTCCATGTGATTAGGTATATTTTATTTATTTATTTATTTATTATTCGAATTTATATCCCGCCCTTCTCCTTGCGGACTCAGGGCGGCTATGTGAGATTTACGTTTTGGGCGGAGAAGTGGATTTAATTTTTGAGTTGGCTTCCACATTTTTTTAAAAAATCACTTGTAAAGGCAGAAATTGAAGGCCTGATCCTAACTGGAAAAGAATTGAGTTGGAATTAATCAATACAGATTTGGAAAGTGGTACAATCCAGAGTACAGCCAGTCTGTCAACTCTAGTTCTCCGTTCACTAATTGTCCATGCTTCTCAAGAGGTTGGGTATACAATCAATCCAACTACTGTAGGTCTTTATTTCTGACTGCTTCCTTGCTGCCTGATCCAGTCTTAATCAACTGTGTCCTTCCTTTCATTTGCAGTAAGCGAAACTGAAGAGACAGAGCTTCAAACAATGGGGTGTTAGCTGTACAATACTGTAACATAGACACAAATCAGTTTTCTACCTCAAGAAGAAGCAAAGCATGAAAAACACGATTGGTAAACAAAAGACCGAGCATATCCATTTTGTCAAACACTGTTTTCTGAAGCAGAAAAGGCACCAGGTCCGTGAAGGTGATACACAGAAGGTTTGAGAAATGCTGTCCTTTCCACATCATAATTTATAATGGACTCATTTCAAAAAAAAGACTTGCAGTTCCTACAGGTCTGCCTAGGCAACCTCGGCTCTTTTATGACTCATGGACTTCAACTCCCAGAATTCCTGAGTCAGCATAGC